CATTAATCAAAAATCAAACTCTGCATAGACATCATTCAAACATCACACTGTAGGAACAAGAAGAAACACTGATTTCTGGCTGGAGGGGACAAACAGCAAGGACCCTCGACTGAACCGACAGCAGACACAGACAACATCAGCTGTCAACTAACAGAACCCCTCCAAGCATCCACTGGGAGGGGGACAAAGGCCATTGAGTCAACATCTTTGACAGGGGTTACCACCTCCCTCCATATACATTATCATATATTCAAAATTCCACACTTAGGTCAGATGATGACAACTAAAACAGGGGTCTTCGAAATTTTTAAGGTCAAGGCCAGCTAAGGAGCTGGGACCCCCTACTACATATATTGTATAAAACTCAATAATAATATGTTGGATTCATGTTTGGTCTTTTCTCAGGCAGATTTAAACTTTTGAAAAAATAAAACCTTTCAGATTTTATTTTATCTAACAATAATTCGGGGGCCACCCTAGTGTTGAAGACCCAGGAATTACAATACTAAATCACATTAATATCCCTTGAAGAAAAGTCACATTGTGAAAATGTGTGTAAAAGTGTGACAGCACTGGTGCTACTATTGTGTTACAACTGAAATTCAGTCATTTACAGTGTGCTAATAAAATAAACAAACCAGATAGAGTCACGATGAATGACATAATCTCTTGTAAGCTGCGATGTTTCTGTCTGTACAGGAGTGTCAAAGAGGAGCTGGCAAACCGAGATCATTCAGGATCACCTTGAGGAGGCTGAGGAGATGTTCGAAGTGCTGCTCGTCTCACCTGAAGGCACAGTGATTGGCAACATCAAGAGGGCTCAAGTCACCATCAGAGACTCTGGGAGGAAGAAGGGAGGAAAAGGTAGAAATAAACCCCAGCTGTGTGTTTTTAGGTTCTTTTTTTGTAAGGTTGCATCACTGCATATTATCCCTATACCTGACCCTAGGGTGGATCTAGAGGGGTGGTATGGGATCTAAATGCTTTACTAATCAAGTTCAAATATGTTTACTTCAGCCTTTATTTCCCATCCCATAGTTCACCAGTAGCTCACAAGCAAGAATTGTGAAAAAAGCAAAGCAGGGTTAAACCTGAATCCACAGCCTGGATGCAAGACTGGGGAAATTTTTATTCACGTTTTATTCCCCCAACCCTATGGCCATACTGGCATGTTATAAATATGAAGTATTAATTATTAATGATTATTTAATAAGATGTGTGTATCATGATAAGAGTTTAATTGATTTGTGCCCATGCACCAAAAACTACATCCTTGGATGTAGTCCGACTTTCTGTGTTTTTATCACAAGATGGCGCCACTTATTCTGATTAAAAACTCAGGGAGTCAATATTTGCCCAAAGACACTAACATGACTGTTAAAACTCAGGACAATGCAAGCTGAACCACGATCAGGAGGCTCCTGTTCTTGGAGGAAAAGAGATTCGCTCAGACACATACCCCCAGCATGGATCTATTCAACTAGAGAAGCTGCCCCTCAGCACAGATTCAGTGATGTGGTCCCGTGGAGACAGCATCTCCAGGCCTAGAGCAGATGTCCCAAAAAAGAAACTCAAAGTAACAGGCAATCCAAAGTCTGTAAGTACCTGCTCTTGAAGATCAGCACTGGATTTGACTTTATCCATCTTACATTTTCCTTTAATAGTGGCTTTGATCCAGCTTAAATCTTAATCTTTCAACTCTGTTTCATCTTTCAGATTGCACCTTCATCAGTTTTTCACAACGGGACAGACATTGTTTACACGGTAAGCAGGAGAAGTAGCTGATACTAACCTGACCTAACCTTTTTAAGTCACTAAAGTCTGCATTTCTGCTCTTTAATTCCAGTATCATGGCATCATGCAAATGCAAGTAGAAGATGACACGTCCTCATCGAGGAAGGGCAGAAAGGCAAACATCCGTGTGGTTAGCAGGGGAGCACAGCAGCAGGCGTCAGCAGTGCTTACAAAGTCAAAGTCAGATCCTCAAAGGAAGATTTCAAAACCTCAAAAGACTGGACCGGCTAAAGTGCATGTAAGTACTAATCTTACTGGCTGAGTAACACTTTTTTAACTATCTAAGGAAAGATTTTGCACTTGCTAGTTTGAGACTTTCTATGCTCTTTTAGTATTTTATGGTTAATTATTGTGAAAAAAAATGTTTTCCAGTTAAAGCAACACCAAATGAATTCTGCTGTGAATTTGTACGGCCATAGGCTACAGCAGATAACTCCATACCCAAGCCCTGTGTGCCAGAACTGATGGGACTCCTGCATTTAAACCAGACCACCAATCAGCTTTTTCACTGCAACGGTGTTTCCTGGAAACCCTGGACACCAACTGATCAGGTACTCAAGCTTCACAACAGGGGGGAACCTACTTGTAATAAAAGCATGCGCTCACTTCTTTGCATCAGTAAATTGCCTGGAAAATGTTGCTCTTTGTCATTGTGGACCACTATGATTCCAGATTTGGATGGAGGAAACTACTTTTCTAACATCCATTCATCAGTGTCAGAGATGTAGTTTTTTAAAGAGAGTAAAGGGACACAGATCATCAGGATCGAAGGTTATATAGAATTGAGTGTATAGCAATAAAAGTCAATACTGTCCTTGTAAATGAGGCCCATAAGTGTTAACATAAAGTCTGAAATAGTGGCTCTAGGATAGAACCTTGCAGAACTCCATACGGAGGGGATTATGCAATAGACTTCTAAAATAAATGATTCAACATTCCATTCAAGTCCATTTTCTCCTGAAATACAGATGGTGAGTGCTCAGATGTGTCCTCAAGGCTGGACCTTCCACGGAGGCCGCTGTTACACTCTCAGCACTGAGCACAAGGTCACATGGACCACAGCTAACAGGGCCTGCAGGGAGAGGTACGGACCATTTATCATGGAGCTGTGCACATTGTGTTTTTAAAGGATAAACAGACTTTGAAGCAGAAAGCATGAATATAGTACATGTTTCTGAAGTTGTCTGCCATACATAACATGCATGCAAGCAAAACTGTATAATCTGAATTATATGGGCTATGAATCATCCTTTAGAATATATAACTTTCCCTCTTGTCCTTTTCAGATATAAAGGCACTCTAGCAAGTGTTCTCTCTAAAGTTGACATGGATTGGCTGTGGGACTTCAGCGGAAGAAAACCGTTTTGGATAGGTGGGTATCTTTGATGGTGTTATTTGATGCAACAGCATTTTTGATTTTTTTTTTTTTTTTTGTAATGAACTTTGTCTTGAGTGAGAAATATCCAGTGTAGTCTGTACTAAAAAAAAGGATGACTCACATGGAAATCACAAAATGGAGAAAAAGGAAAAACAACAAGCAAAAAGTAATGGACATTAAAGTAAGACAACAGTACTAAACAGCAGGGTCAAAACCAGTCTGAAAAAATCCCCAAACCATCCAGTCCCACCCGACCCCACCCACCACTGTATAGTTAGGGCTCCTCACACAGTACAATCCAAAGACAATGTAATTATGGTGAGATGAAAGAAAAAAGAATTAAATATTGCCTGCCATAACATATGTATACATAGGAGGGTAAATAATGTTAATAAAATAAAGTATGGATCCAAATAAATTCACTGAGGTCAAAGGTCGGTCATCACATGTGATTGAAGACATCAATGAGCATTCGTTAGTGTGGAATTTTGGTTTATTTGTATACTGCTTTAATTCACAATTAGCTTTTTTATTGCAAATGCCATTAGGAGCACTATAAGGGTGCCAGAGAAATCAGCCAGGATATAGTGAAAGCTTCAGCAAATATGACAAAAAGTTATTTTTATAATAGTTACCTTCTGCAGCTTTTAGTTTTTTGATAAAATAACTGGCTGATCTTTCTCCTGCTGTTTAAGGCCTGAACGACAGGGAGGGCCGAGGACGCTGGGAGTGGGCGGGCGGTGAGCCAGTCAGCTACACTAACTGGAGAAAGGCACCCCCGCGGTCCAAAATGAAGGGAAGCAAAAAGTGCGTCCTGGTGTGGAGGAGGGCAAAGTGGCAAATCAGGGACTGTAAGACAAGCAGAGGAAACCGCTTTGTGTGCTCAGCAAAAACTTGAATTTGGCGGCATCACAGCCACGAGTTGCAGGAGGAAGGACATTTAAACTGCAATAACTTTCCAATGAGGAACAATGGGAACTTTGCTGGAGCTGTTTATATCATTTATAAAGAACTTTGTGACAGTTAATGTGTCTAAAAAGTAACCTAAGTGGCATTGTTTACACTGCATTTATACTAATTAACCACTGAAAGTATTATATATGTAAAGCTCACAAGACTTTTTTTTTTTTTTTTTTTAAATGTATGTAGTGTATCTTGCTTATTTCAGATAGAACCAAGGCTGGCCAATGACCACAAGGCTCTGAAAGCCCCAGATTTACAGTTTGACTGGTTTGTGCTGCAGGTAATTTAGATGCAAATTTCTAACAGATTCTGCAACATTACCTCAGGCACCCACTGTCCAACGTTTTAAGGCTTTCATTATTTTAATCTATATTGTGCTTACATTGTACATATTCCTAAATTAACGAATGTGTGTTTAAACTGATGTCTACAGGCAAAATATAATGAAAATGCCATGTGTACTGTGCTGTGTGTACTGTACTTGTTTGGAATTTAAGGGCCAAAGGGAATATACACAACACAGACAGTGTTGGTGTTGGTGGAAAGGGGGGGCCCAGGCACATTTGCCAGGGGGCCTTGTTAAAGGTTAATCCGCCATGCACAGAATGTTGCTAAATTGCTGATTCGCTTTTTTCACAAATCTTTGTCTCCCCATGTTTCTATAAAAAGAATGAAGCACAAGCTCTTCATTATTTCCATTCAAAGAAATGTTTCTTTGGTCCTGTAAACAGAAAAAAACATCAAAATAAATCATAATCGATTTGTGTAAATGAAGCTCTAATGGAATATTTTCTACAATCAGTTCATCAAAATGTCTGAGTAATTTGTATAGTATTCAGTATTTGCAAGGAGAATTTGTGAGAATTCCTCCAGTTAGATTTCAGACTCTAATCTGTGCTGTGCCCTGTGAGTGATCTTATGTAAGTGTCTGTGTGAACTTCTAAAATAAGCTCATATTATAGAGGAAATGTTATTTATTAATCCAATAATATACCACTGTCTGTGATCAGCTATCCAGCTGTCACTTGGTACAAATCTTGTTAAATGTTGACATTTCTGCATTGGTTATAAGCCGATGTTGTTGTTGTTGTCCTCTTTTTGAGAATCCAGCACTATGGAGGTTATTGAGATCTGGGCCAGTGGGTCCTGCACCACAAGGTTAAGCGGCAATGTGATTATCCCCATCATGTGATCTACAGCCGGGGTATGAAAGAGGGCCTTTTATATGAGCTGTGAGCACTTCTCAGAGGTTCGCATGCACTGAACAGATACACCACAGCCTCTCCATCTCGGTAAGTCCCGCTAAAACTGAACAGATATATACGTGATGTGTGTTTGCTAAATCTAGATTTATAATTGTTTAAAAGTTATGGTTGATTATTACTGTAAATGATTAAAAATGTTCTCTGTAAAACTTATGATAGCAGCATTTGGAACATCAGTCAGTCAGGAGGAAAGCCCTTTAAGTTTTGAGACCCACTCTGACTGATAATTCACTACCAGTATTGAACTGAATGGAGCCAGTTGCTGGTAGGTCACATGTTAAGTGCATTAGCAGCAGCTGCTGCAGGCATGGGCTATGAAAAATTCATCACTCACTTTATTTTTTAAAGAGTGGTCCTATTTTGAATGAACTTAACCTTAATATTAGTGCCTCTGAGTGTTTCATCCATAATAAGATGCAGAATAAAGAGTGCTTTCAGGTGACATAACACCCTGCAGTAGACATTTTGGAGGTCATCATGTTGTGACCTCCATTAGTTTGTCTGCTGTTTTTACTGAAAAGTTTAGTTTCTTTTTCATTTCTATGATATCTTAGCATTTTAAGATGATGTTACCGTCAGCTAGCTCACCGTATCAGGTAACCATCACTGCTGTCTGTGTACACTAGTTAATGCGTCCAGGTTATCATTAAATGTGCCAGTTGACAATTGAATTTACAGTTTCTGTTGGTGTTTGTTTTCTCTAAACTTAAACATAGTAGTTGATCTTCTGAGAGTAAAATGAGAAGATTGATATCACTCTCATGCCTGTGGAGTCAGGCGTGGTTAGCCTAGCTTAGCATAAAAACTAACCAAAGCTTAAAAATACACCTATCAACACAACTAAGGTTCAGAAATGAACATGTTCTATCTCATGTGGTAATCTGAACACAAAATGTAAAACCAACTAGAGTGGGAGTTCCATGCTGGGACTATTTTTTGATGAGCAACAGTCTTCACAGTGAGGTTGGAAATAATGAGAAGAACTCCTGCACACTGTCTCGCTGCTGAAATACTTTGAAAGATTTCGGTCTGTCCAACCTTCATTGGGTATATGCATCAGAACACTTACACACACCACACACACACACACACACACACACACACACACACACACACACACACACACACACACACACACACACACACACACACACAGGAGCTCAGTCATCCAGTCAGGGGACTGAAGACATCAGTTTGACTGATTTCAATTCAATTTTATTTGTATAGCGCCAATTCATAACTGAAGTTATCTCAGGACACTTTTCAAATAGAGCAGGTCTAGACCGAACTATAGCATTTACAGAGACCCAACAGTACCACCATGAGCAAGACCTTGGTGACAAGGGCAAGGAAAAACTGCCTGTTAAAAGGCAGAAACCTAGGACAGATCCTTCGGCTCTAGGTGGGTGGTCGTCTGTCTCGACCAGTTGGGGTGAGAGAGAGAGAGAGAGAGAGAGAGAGAGAGACAGAGACACAGAGAGAGAGAGAGAGACAGAGAGAGAGACACACACACAGAGAGAGACAGACACACACACACACACAGAGAGACAGACACAGAGAGAGAGACAGAGACACAAAGAGAGAGACAGAGAGACAGACACAGACACAGAGACAGAGAGACACAACAGTATTGGTAATGGCAATCTAGCAGGACCATGGCAGGAGGCTCCACCAGGATCGATAAGAACCTGTGAGACGAAAAAGAACTCCGGGGAAGAAGTGAAGTTAGTAACATGCATTAATGGAACATGAATGAGTGCAGAAAGAGAGAGGAAGAGAGGAGCTCAGTGCACCATGAAAAATCCCCCGATAGTCTAGGCCTATAGCAGCATAACTAAGGGATGGTTCAGGACTCACCTGATCCAGCCCTAACTATAAGCTTTATCAAAGAGGAATGTCTTAAGCCTACTCTTGAATGTGGTGAGGGTGTCTGCCTCCCGAACCACAACTGGAAGCTGGTTCCACAGGAGAGGAGCTTGGTAACTGAAGGCTCTGGCTCCTGTTCTACTTTTAGAGACTATAGGAACCACAAGTAGCCCAGCATTCAGAGAACGTAGTGTTCTAGAGGGGTAATACGGTACTATGAGCTCTTTAAGATATGAAGGGGCCTGACCATGAAGAGCTTTATAGGTGAGGAGGAGGATTTTAAATTCTATTCTACATTTTACAGGGAGCCAATGCAGAGAAGCTAGTACAGGAAAGATGTGATCTCTTTTTCTAGTTCCTGTCAGTACTCGTGCTGCAGCGTTTTGAATTAATTGGAGCGTTTTAATGGACTTATTGGGGCAACCTGATAATAAAGAGTTGCAGTAATCCAGCCTAGAAGTAACAAATGCATGGATTAGTTTTTCTGCATCTGTCTGTGATAGGATGTGTCTAATTTTTGTATTACGTAAATGAAAGAAGGCAGTCCTAGAGGTCTGCTTCATGTGGGAATTAAATGACAAATCCTGATCAAAGATAACTCCAAGAGTCCTGACAGTGGTGCTAGAGGCCAAGGTAATGCCATCTAGAGTAACTATATCTTTAGACAGTGAGTCTCTAAGATTTTTGGGGCCAAGTACAAGAATTTCGTTTTTTTCTGAGTTTAACATCAGAAAATTGCAGCTCATCCAGGATTTTATGTCCTTAAGACATGTTTGTAATTTAGATAAATGATTAATTTCATCGGGCTTGATTGATAGGTATAACTGCGTATCATCTGCATAACAGTGAAAGTTAATGGAGTGATTCCTAATAATTTTGCCTTAAGGGAGCATATATAAAGTAAATAGTATTGGTCCAAGTACAGAACCTTGTGGAACTCCATGACTACCTGTAGTATTTATTGAAGATTCATCGTTAACATGTACAAACTGCGAACGATCTGATAAATATGACTTAAACCAACTTAGTGCGGTTCCTTTAATGCCAATTTGATGCTGAAGTCTCTGTAAAAGAATATTATGGTCAGTGGTGTCAAATGCAGCACTAAGATCTAATAATACAAGTACAGAGACAAGTCCATTGTCTGAAGCAATCAAAAGGTCATTATTAACTTTAACCAGAGCTGTCTCTGTGCTGTGATGAACTCTAAATCCTGACTGAAAATCCTCAAATAAACTATTGTTATGTAAAAAGTCACACAACTCTTTGGCGACTACTTTCTCCAGAATCTTAGAGTGGAAGGGGAGGTTAGAGATCGGTTTATAGTTGGCTAAAACCCCTGGGTTAAGAGTGGGCTTTTTAAGAAGGGGTTTAATTACAGCTACTTTAAAGGACTGTGGTACATATCCTGATAATAAAGAAAGATTAATCATATCCAGTAAAGAAGTGCCAATTAAGGGTACGACTTCTTTAAGCAGCCTAGTTGGGATTGGGTCCAACAGACAGGTTGATGGCTTCGATGTAGAAATTATTGAAGTTAACCGATGAAGATCGATAACAGAAAAACAGTCTAAATATATATCTGAGTTTACATTAGTTAAAGTTCCTGAACTTGGATGAACTGATGATCACGTCGCTTAAAGCATGTGTCACCAGTCAGAAAAGGACTTCAAAAAGGATTGGAAAGATACATTAAATGACTCCCATATATGAACCCCTTAATTAAAAATTATAATAAAAAATAGACTTTTTTCAGCAAAAAACATGATTTTTTTTTTCATTTTTCATGAATGGTTCATTCATACCAATGGATTAAGTGATGCTTTAAAACACATTGTATAAATATTTAAATTATTTTAACTAAATTAAAACTTTTTACATTTTAAATTCTTCAGGATTTAAATTTTATCTGCAGGAAACAGTATGTTCAAATTCTTCTGAGATCAATAATGTCTATACATAATCAATAGGATGCATTATAAGCTGGTTGTACCATTAGAAAATCAAATCAGAATCAGTATTCCTTATTTATTTAGTAATGTAATGTTTTATGTTTACTTTAATACAGTTTAAACACAAATGATGTACTTTAACAACATGATTAATAGATTAAAAGGTGCCTCACGGTTGGCCATGTTTGCTCAGAAAAGGCGGTGTGGCTCTATGGCAGTCCACTTGGCTGATGTGGAACATTGTCACTGGCTTAAAGACATCCAATCAAGTAAATTTGTACATTTAGGTGGAGTCAGATTACATTACAGTGACCATAGATCTAGACATTCTAGAAAAGTTATGTACATTGGAAGGGATGGGGGATCTGAATGACAATAATAAAGCTTAAACAACATCCATGAAACCTCAAACCTCAAAACCCAATCCCTCTCTGACCCCTTCTGACTCTGTCCTGTAACGTTTACGTCTCTTAACCATTTATTTTGTTGGTCATTCAAGGTTTGATCATGACATAATCATCTGATTTATCTCCTAATCTCCATCACTAAAAGTGGAACTGAGGAGGTGACCCTGCTGGGGGGTTCATCATGGATCATCATACCCCGGGCCACGCCTCCAACTTTCAGTGGCTTTCCTTTGCCTACCAGGGCCTGACAGAAATCCCCTATGACACAATTCTAACACAGATGGACACTCTGGAGGTGCTGGACCTGAGTTACAATCTCCTGAATGAGTATCCTTTCTTAACCACCAGGAGCTTAAAGACCAACGTTAGGTGAAGCCACAATGCTAGCATGGTGACAGATACATATTTAGGAAATCTCGCAATGTGGGAAAAAGCTGTGTTTCATGGAGCTGAGAGGTGACCTGGGTTCTTGGATGGGGCCAGGGACAATAGATAAATCGCAAAAATTTGTGCAGATTTAACCAATCCCTTGGAAATCTGCACAACTTTGCAATTTTGTCCAATCACGACGTCTTTTCTGCAAATTTGACCAAGCCACCATCTAGGAGCAATTTTATTCTCACTGGGACAAGTTGCATTCAATCTTTAATGAATTATAAAACATGTTTTTCACAATTTTCACTTTCTCCCACAATTTCATCGCTAAAACAATGCCTGAAAACATCAGAAACTAAAGAAAATGTGAATGATGTGAAATCAGGCATTTTAGGCCACTAAAACCCCCCAAAAGGCCACAAAATCCTGGAGGGACTGACATATATAAACTGAACTGCTGCGCTGCTGTCTGGATAAAAACTACTGGACTGACAGATAGATATTAGTTTATAAATCCATTATTTCCTGTAAATATTAGTTAGCAGTGGACCAGAAACTCCTGTGTGCCATGAGATAAAACTGCTGTTATTGTCAATGGAGTTTGGTGGCTTTGAAGAGAGCACAGATGGATATAAACTCTTCAGTTCCCCGTCTGACGGCAAGTTAAAGCAGTGACAATGTTCTAAATATAGCATACATTTAGACTGATATTGATTTAGATGGGCCTTTTTTAGGTGTTGTCCACAGCAGTGCATGGCCATTCTTTTTATTTAATACGTATCTCACTATATACTGTAGGATATAAATCCTGTTGCAGGATCAATTCTATGAATCACACAAATAAACATACATATACACATAGTATATATATCGACTGACCAACCTGAGCAGTGTGAGTTGGCCGTGTTCTCCTTCATTCAGACCTTATTGGAACCCGGCTCTGCTGGGTCAGCTGGAGAAGCTCAGCACTCTGATCCTGGACTGCAACAACTACACATCTCACATCAAGTTCCCCTACATGCCCAGTGTCACCACCGTGTGCATCAACAAGAACAAGATCAACAATCTGCCTGTGTTTGTGGAGGAAATCCGACGGAAGTTCCCAAACATAAAGTGAGCATGTTCTACAGAGGTACAGAAGTACTGTGGTTTTCATTCCCTCCTCCTTCATGCTTCTGTATTTCTCTCAAATGCAGGATCCTCAGTATGATGAACAATGAGGCAGCACCTAGCTATTTCAATGGAGGAAGTCTGACCCAGTACAAAGACTACAGGTGAGCACATGGCGTCCACTACCTGCTTTTTTCCCCGCTAAATAATAAAATCAAAGTTCCCTGTTTATGCTCTGTATATTCTCTTACATGTTTCTTTGCAATAACTATGATTATAAACAGCTCTCAATTTTCTGATTGTTGGGGGTTTAGCTACCTGGAGGAACTATAAAAGAGTTCTTTTACAGATTGAGAAAATTCTCCTACATCTTAAGCTAAACAAACTATAGGATGAACTGACACAGAAACAAGAAAACAAGAAAACCCTTCCTTCTGTAAGGGTTTGAATGCAGGACTTTCACTTGTAATGGAGCATTTTCACAGTGTGGTATGAGTACTTTTACTTCAGTAAGGGGTCTGAATACTTCTTCCTCCAGAAAATACAGATGTTGTCCCTGAACTGGACATCAAAACAAGTCAGCACATGTTGTACATCTCAAATGTATCAGTTCCATCGAAACCAGACCAATGGTGCAGCAGTTATGGCCTTTCAAAGACAGTTTTACTTGTACTTTGGCGCCCCTGTCTGCTCATTGTAGGAACATGGTGCAAAAATGTGCTCTCTTTGGTCAGAATTAGACCAGTGGTGTCTGGGGAAATGGGTCTGACTAACAGCAATGTATTTATGAATGATCAGTCTATTATTGTACTTATAGTTAAAAGAAACCAAAAATAAAACATAACACTACAGTACTACAAATACACAACACCAAAGCCAACAAAGGGAGGTAGGGGGACAGAGTATTTGATTGACACAGTTGATTCATTTATCAGAGCTGGTTCAGTGATTTACTGACCATAAGAGGGACCTAATCAATTTCCAGGGTCCATTTAATCTTCAAAACGACTTTATTGACGACATTAAGATTTGCATTATGGCCATCGCCATTTTTCTGGAGCAAGCAGCGGCCATTTCTCCCTGAGACACCCTACTATCAGACTTCTGGAGCTGCCCCCTGCTGGCCATTAGAAAGAATTCAGGTTTAAGACATTTCCACGTAGGCTTCACTTCACAGACCCGGAAGCTCTGTCCACTATTTATATATTACTGCCAATGGTCCTCTTAACTGGCCAATAGGGGCACCAGTGATCAACGACTGCTAGGCTAAAAACAAAGCCTACCTAGTCTGATTCAGGCCACACTTTCCACTAGAGCAAAAATACAATGGCTGCTGCTGTACTGTATGTCACCACTATGTGTCTGCTCAAGATCCATCAGTAAACTATACAATATATATTGAGAGATGCAGACTTCATTACTGACTGTAACTTGTTTAATTCTGAACTGATTTTCATGAAATGTGTTTGTTAAAAACATATGATGTGATTTATGATGACTCTGGTTACTTGCTGGAATTGAATTCAGTTACAGGGTGCAGACCTAAAATGCTCTATGCCATAACATTAACCGTCTTCTCTTCTCAACTTCCACTGGGACATGCAGTGCACTACAGGCTCCGTTCTATGAATAGCAAAGAGCTGCACTGTGCTAGTTTTAGAATGTATCGTGTCATTTTTAAGGCAAGTAAACAAAGTGAGGGACATGGTTTCATGTGTACATTAGTGATACATGAAAGGTTTCAAATACATCACCCCTCAATCTCTTTACAGTGGACAATGCCACAACATAATACTGTCCAATCAGTCTGTTTTAATGTGCACACTGTAATGTGAGCTCTGTGTTTTGTCTTTATTTGTGTAACGTCATTAAATAGTGTTCTAATGTTGCCTCCCATTGTGTTGTGGAAATAGAGATGCCCATGTCAGGTTCCCACTCCCACTACCACTTTTTTTATTGTGTTGCAGTCAGCAGAAGTAAAAGGTTAATATGTTTTCATCCTCAGACAATACGTCATCAGTCAGATCCCAAGCCTGGAGATCCTGGATGACACTGAGGTCTTGGAGAAGGAGAGAGCCCAGGCAAGAAAAACCTACCGGCTGCAGCAGAGCAGCCACAGCAGCAGAAAGAGGAAGGAGGACTCATCAAAGAAACACACGCACATACACAAAAAGTCAAATACTCTCATAAGACAATAGGATATATTACGTTTTTGAAGCCTTCCCTGAAAATCCACCCGCACACTGCCAACAATCACACACTGTCTGTTCTGTATCTGCTTGTTTCAGCTCATATTTGAAGCTACAGGATGTTTACACAGAGTTTAATATTCAAATCCAAACACCATGTTTTATATAGCTGTATTATCTAATTAAAAACAGAAATATTATACATGTTGTGTGCATGATTTTTTCCAAAATTCAGCCTCACATGCTTGCTATGGGTTTTTGGAAAGTGATGTTTCCTACAATTAAACTGTTGGTTTGAACAGTGCTTGGTCATCAACGTTAAAGCTGGAACACGCAAGATCTTATATATGTTGTCTGAAGGCATAAAAAGTTTTTTGTCGACAAATTATAGAGTCTTTGATACAACTGGGGCAGTCTTTGCACAGTTTTCAGCCTATTCATCTCAGTGAACCTGTTTCGGATGCATAGGGGGAATGGGGCTGCAGCTGCATGCATTACAGGTGTTGTGTTTGGTGCCACCACTAGGGAGAACTAGGAGCCAAACAGAAAGCCTCAGTTTTCCATTTCCCAGAGAGAGAAAGGGCATAAATAAGAATCAGATGAAATAGTGTTCATAAATAACTTTGCAGTAAATAGGAACAATCAGTCAGTCAAAATAAAAAGAAGTCTACCCATCTAAAAATAGTAATGTAACTCAGATAAGACAGGTAAGTTATATTTCAAAGATAAATGCCAAAAATGTGATCGTTCCAGCTTCTCAAAGATAGAAGACAGAATTTCTAGCTCTTAAAGTAAATTTAATATTTTCAGGTTTTGGACTGATACGTCGGACACGTCATTTGATGAAGTCATTTCGGCTTTAAATTATATTATCACTGTTTTCTGCTGCTTTATAGACTAAATTAATTCATCAGTCAAGTTTATTCAAGAAAATAATCCTCACATTAATCAATCATGAAAATAATTGGACCCTGCAGTGGGGTCTGTGGCCCTCACATTTAAAGTGCTGAGGAAACCGGCTCTGTTCTGGTTCAAGCACCCAGGTTTTAACCTGTCGGAGCATTTCAATCAAAAGCCACGTGCAGCCTGATGCTTGGAGCTCCCTGGAAGTCCGAGGCCCTGGGGGCACTGGCCCCACTCGCCTGGTCCATCATCCAGCTTTGCCTGTAGCTTGTAAATACTTGTAAATAGTTAATTTTGCTTCTCTCTCACTGCTGATGTTTTAAACTGAAATGAAAATTGTGGAACTCAATCAATAGTGAACAAGGAGGACATTTGGGGTTTGTGGGAGATACAGCGCTGTAAAAAAATCAGTGAGAGCATCTGTAATGTGGTTTTCCTCTTCCTGTCACAGTGGCATTGTGTTTTCTCTCTTTTTGTTTGGCATTCTTTGACTTTCCTTTGTCTGAGAGTTTGGGGCTTTGTTAGTGTTGTGCTGAACTGTGACAAAATGTTCCCCTGAACACAACACACCCTTACTTCAACCCTCCAAGACACCAAAAGGAAAGCCTTTCTTTTCCAACGAAGGTCTAAATTCAAGTAAAATTCTGAATTTGAATGAAGTAATTCTCTGCATTTATTTAATTTTGTTGGCCTAGAAGTAGCAAATTTTAAATAGTTTTGGTCTAAAAGTACTGGAATCAGCCTATAAAATACTCACTGTGTCTGTTTTTAATTTGAAGTTCTTTAAACTCTGCCTCTGATTGGCTCATTGCCTGCATTGCGCAACGCACTGGTGGATTCTCACGTGGTCTTGCGAGTCTAGCTGCCTAGCAACATTTCAGCATCCATGGCATAGCATAAACACCCAGAACAAACTTAAACTCCACATCCCCAGTTGTAATGCATGTTTTCTGTAATACATAAGATATTATACAACTATTTCAACAGGCTGAGAAGGACTCATGATGTGTCAACTCAATTGATGCTAACAATATGTTTTTGAAAAGTCATTTTTAACTTTGGTTAAAAGTTTTTGTCACATGCTATGACTTCCACCATTTCAGAGGCTGTAGATCAGATGGCTAAGGTGTTTTCCCCTGACAGGGAATGCAGGTGAAGTGCATTCAGCTATAGATCTACTATAATGTGGCTGCTAGGCTGCATGTGCAAACACTGTTCGTACAGCTTAAAGCTTCTGTTCACTGTGGTACAGAGAAATGTCCTAAACCGCCTGCAGCCGTTGGCAGCTGTCCCTACGGCTAAACTGGTTACTTTGCTGTGGAGTAGCCAAATGGCTTTCAAGTGTCACCTGGCAACCTGGCACTGAGTTGGGCCCAATGAAAGTGTCAGTTAACTGGCTGTTACTGGCTGGAGTTTTTGAACATTTGAAGAACTTCATTGCCCACAAATCCCCTTATGATAGATAGATAGATAGATAGATAGATAGATAGATAGATAGATAGATAGATAGATAGATAGATAGATAGATAGATAGATAGATAGATAGATACTTTATTCATCCCCAAGGGGAAATTCACAGTTTCCAGCAGTATCCACAGGTACTACATGGTCAAATCCAGTGCTTGAAAGGCCTAAGGTGCATAAGCAGTTGGTCACATTATGCAGGGTGCACTGCGTCAGGTGGTACAGTTTGATACAGGGCAGACATATTGGAGTTTAGAGTTTTATGGTTTTCCTCCCCTGGGTGGAGTTGAAGAGCCTCATGGCGTGGCGGAGGGACGATCTCCTCAGTCTTTCAGTGGAGCAGGACAGTGACAGCAGCCTGTCACTGAAGCGGCTCCTCTGCCTGTAGATGGTGCTGTGCAGTGGATGCAGTGGATTGTCCATGATTGACAGGAGCCTGTTTCTTATGTTAATGTCAACCATAATATGTCTTCCTGGTTTAAGTAGAAATGGGGAAAACTCCAGCAAATGTTTGCTAATTGTGATTTAAAGGCGCTATATGTGAGAATTAACCAGCTGTCGAAATTATACTCCAAACAAATAGAGGGCAGCATATCACCAGATTATCCGCTAACTGCTGCCAACTGTAGCTCCAGTTAGCTAGTTAGCTCAGAGTGATGGTGTTTACAACACAAGTACAGGAGCTTTGTACCACCTGGAGAAGGAGGGGATTTTCAGGCTATGGTTGGGACAGTTGTATGCTGGCGACGAGTGGTGACAGAATGGGCACCAGAGCCTGGAGCCGAACAAGTCAGCAACTGAACCAGGCTCAGCAGCCTCCCAGTGAACATGGCCGCACTGGGACCGAACAAAGCCTCCAAGACCAATGGAGGCCAGTTTGGTGACAGGCAATACATTACCACGGTGATTTACGGTGACTTTATGGCCTGAGCAGGGGTTATGGCGGGGTCAGCCACAGGGTACCAGGCGATAAACCCAGCAATTAAACCATCTTACCGTTGCTGGTTCGGGTGCTATAGTGACTCACTGTCACAAAGGTACAAAGTGATATTATGGAACAGGACTATCTGAAGCTAGCTGTTAGCAGGCTAACTTCAGTAGATATCTCTGCAATATAATACATAGACATCTTTTACATATCATCAGAACAGTTATTACTTTATCTCCTATTTATCATTTTAGTTAATCTTTGAAAAAACATTCTTACATATTGCACCTTTAAGAGGCACTTAAACTTACATAGTTAATTCAATACTAAATATAACCCATTGCTTTTACAGAAGTGGTTCTAGGGTTCCTGGTAGAGTTCTGTGTTCTTAGTTGCCACGTGTGTGGGAAGTAACAGACTGATTTAGATTAGCAGTAGTTTCAGGAACTGTAACTGTAAAACAGATCAAGCAAGAGACAAAAGGTTTGTCTCTCTTGTGAAATGTTTGCTATTTCCACACTCCTGTTGACACACGCCAACTTCTTACCACATGCTTTGTTCTGCTAGAAAACCCCCTTTCTACTTTCAGTACTTTTGCAGAGCCACAATATTTTCATATCAATTCTCCTCTCTGCTACTGTTATCTTATCTCAGTTCCTTCCTCTGCTTGTGCTCGACTCCCTGCTTTGGAACTGGATGTTCTTTCTTTGCCCCCCTCCGTCTGTATTTAAATGCCTGTGTGTATCTCCCCGCAGCTCCCAGTGTAAGGCAGTCTCTCATTGTGTGTTTCCCAGCAGATGCTGAGCACTGGTGTGCCAAACTGGCCAGTTATGTGGGGCATGAGGCCCAGCTGGCAGACAGGTAGAGGCAGACCTGTACTATTCCAAGCAATGTGTCCAGATTCTCTTTATCATGTGTGTCAGGGACCGAGCTGGCAGGCATGAGGAGTCAAAGGTAAATTTTCACAAAAAGTCCTTTTATTCACAAAAAAATAATCAATTTACAAAAGATACAAAATGTTCTGGGCCCATAAAAGAGGTCAACTAAATAGAACTTAACTCAGGCTACATTAACTGAACGAACAAAACATACTGAACAAACACACCAAACCAACCCAATTAAACCGAGACATTGGGGGAACTTAAATAGTGGCTGATCAGGCCACTCTGACACACAGGGGGAATAGACTAAAACATAACATTTAAACAAACCATAATACCCTCCAATAATATCCAGATAATGCAGCCAATTATTAACTAAGGAAAATACTGAAATACTAAACATCAAAAAGCATAATAATCAGAAATAACTAAACTCAAACAAAGAGAAATCACTTCCTCTCCCCATGATTCCAGCCAACATGGTGTAGCCCAATTATCGGCCCAACCCCTTTTAAGTGTCTCTGAATCTGCCGGCACTTCCTTTGTCAGCCATGCAACATCATCAGCAGCAGCACCCAGGAACTGGTAACTCAAAGAAAAATGAATTAATGCAATGAAAAATAACCTGAATGAACCTAATACTACAGAAAATTGACAACAAAAGTTAACTAATTGTGTGCACCCAAAAAGATAACTACTGTCAAAACCGGATAATAAAACTATGTATTATGAATCCAAAATCTGTGTCCAGTTATTTATTGTCAATCGTGTCTAATGTTCTAAGCCTAAATATAATCAAACAAAGAGAGTTACCACCATGCGCTTTGTGCCTCAATGTGTGGCTGCTAGGGCGGCCATCACAATGTGGCTTATAAACTTAAAATTAAGAAAATCACTTCCCAGGTCCACATTTTTTAACAGTTCTTGTTTTTGCCAGACAGGCTCAGATTGCTGTTCTAAGCATCTGACAAAATTATGGAAAGCATTCTCTAGAAACAGCAGTTCAGTCAGACAAATCAAGTTTGAAATGTTTATTAAAGCAGTATAGCATATTTAGATTTTGGCATCTAGGCGCCGACCTCATCATTCCCCACAGATATGTTTACATAGAGATATTGGGGAGTGATGTGCAAATACCTACTCCTAGCTGGAGCCTACAGGTGGATGCTGGGGTGGTGGTGGGGCTTACAGCGCAGCAGGCAGCAATAGCTTACAGAGTAGCCGTGATGTGATGCAAGGCAACAGTGGCATTGAAAAGGTAGAGGGAGAGCTGGGAAATTTTGCAGCTTAAATAGACCGCCAAATTGAAAGGGTGCGCTTGGTTAGTGATTATGGAATAAGGCATGTCATGTGTGTATAGCAGCGCAGCTCGAGTTGACTGCCTGAACTAGCTCGCAGGCTTCGTTCCATTTATGTTGCCACCAACCTTTCCACCAAACTTGACAGAAACAAAATAAACCTCACAAAATACTTACCACAGTTCCAACAATTATCATTTCTGACCTATTACGTTAAAGCATATTTTATAAATAAATAAATAAATAAAGGTACACTGTTCAACATTAAAGCTGCTGGAGGTAAATTTGATAAAAATAGCTTTTTTTCAAATTCTCTGAAACTTTCACTATATCCTGACAGTAGTACACGAGAAAAATAATCTGTGAAAAAAACAGGTTCCTCTGGCTCCTCCTAGTGCTCCTAATCGTATTTACAAGAATCCACCAAAGCACGTAAGCAACTGATCAGAGCTGAGAAAGATAGCTGAGCTAATTGACAGCAAAGTTGTTTCGAATCAAATAAAGGCTGCTGCAGGCAGTGTGTGTTCTGTCACCTCCAACTTTTCTGTTCGTTGGTAGTTTTTAATTAAACTTGTTTATGAGACCCATTCAAATGGGGATTTCCTACTCGTTCAGCTGTCTGACAACAGAAACAAACAAACTGTAGAGAACAACTAATGGGGGACTAAAAAGAGGTTTAACTGGGTCTGCCTGCACAGTTCTATTTGCCGACATAAAAGATACTGCTGTGCAGACCTTTCAGTGTGGATAGAGATCCCATGTAAACGCACATAAACAGCTTTTTTTATAAATGACTCAGCTTTATGTGGACAGTAGTCTCAGATGAATGGAACATGCACTGAATACATATGAAGAAAGACTGCAGAATGGATTACAAACACAGGACCATATCTATCATATCATACACAACCAGTGGTTTCCAGTGAAGTGACCGGCTGTCTTCTGTCAGAATTACGATATGATTGTCACTGACTCCAGCCTGATGACACATCACAGCTGACCAGAGGAGCATGAGGGTTAAAAGCCTGACCTGCTCATCAGTGAGTATCATGTTTGTGTTGACTTTCAAAGCCCATAATGTGTACTAGACACTTGTGTGTGTGTGTGTGTGAAGTGTATTGTCTGCTGGTGAATGGTGGGAAGGAAGCCAGACTTTCCTTTCCTTTGACAGCCATTGTCTGTGAACAGTGCTTCATGATCCCCATTGAGTGTGTGTGTGTGTGTGTGTGTGTGTGTGTGTGTGTGTGTGTGTGTGTGTGTGTGTGTGTGTGTGTGTGTGTGTGTGTGTGTGTGTGTGTGTGTGTGTGTGTGTGTGTGTGTGTGTGTGTGTGTGTGTTCATTCACAGGTTTCAAGTCTGCTTTCCTGGCTAATGACTTGTGGTTCTGCACTCTTCTTAAACTCTAGGTAATAAATTCAAGAAACATACACCACCATTTATGCTCACACACCAAGACTGTTTATACTCAAGTGACATGTAAGTCGTCATGGGTTGACCTCAGTCAGTGAGATTCTTGTAGGCGGGTTGGGCATGGCACGTTTGAAGTGGTATTGGATGTAAATGCAACTCAGCGTGGCATGGTTTGACTCAGCATGGCCAAAAGTACTAATGGAAAAGCTCATAGAGGCATCATTATTAAACTGAGACTGTTTTATAACCAGTTAAAGGACCAGTCTGTAGGACTTAGTGGCATTACAGATTGCAACAAACTGAATACAGCTCAGGGTAGGAGTGTGTAGGAGAAACTGCAGTGGCCACAAAACTTACTAAAAAAGCAAAAGGCCCTATCTAGAGCCAGTGTTTGGTTTGTCAGTTCTGGGCTACTGTAGAAAGATGGTAACTCAGCATGGCGGACTCCGCCAGGGGACCCACTCCCTCTGTAGATACAAATGGCTCACTCTAAGGTACCAAAAGCACAACAATTCTTATATTCAGGTGAATATACACTAATGAAAACATACCTATGAATACTATATTCCATTTCTGCCAACAGATCTTCCTAAATGGACACACTGGACCTTTGCCCTTTGCAAACTGCTGTCTGTACTCAGACAAAGACTGTCAATGAGAAGAGAAAATAAGCTCAGAAAGATCAGCAGAGTGATCCAGGTGATCACCTAATCAATTTCAGGAGAGAGAGCTTGTGGAAAATAAGTCATAAAAGCTTTCATGTCACTGTGTCAGATACATATTTAGTCAACATTTAAATTCTTCTGGGATTCATATTATTTTCAGCTGCAGGTTTGTAATTAGGACTGCTACTGAAACAATAGCAACCAAATGCAGTTGTGATTGTAATTATTCTCCTTACTGATTGTCCTTCCTTTTATCAACAAATTGGTTGATTGTTTCATAAAATGTCAGAAAATGGTGAAAAGGGCAGATCGATGTTTCCCAAAGCTCAAGGTGATGGACCAGAGAAGACTCTGAATTCCCTGCTGCTAACGCGACTGTTGACCTGCGAAGAAAGACTTGAAGCTGTAATTACAGCTGTTAACAAGATCATGTTGTTATTAATGACACTAGGGTGTCATTTTGTTGTAAAACGTTGAGGCACGGTCTGTAAGAGCTACTGCGTCCATCTGTACAATCCACACTGACTCAGAGTTCAAAGGTGTCCAACAAGTGTGAGCAGTTATATTCCATGAGACAGACAAGAGAAAGATGTCATACAGCTTCTGGTTCCCACATCCTTTTCATTCTAGTTCAAGTAGTGGTTATGATAAATGTATGTGCACATTTTGAATCTAAATTGTTTTTTACATTTTTTTTTTTTTTTTTTACACACTACTCTGGTTTCCCCCACATTAAAGCACCATCATTTCCATACTGCTCTTTGGTTTTTTCAATGTTTCATTCCTCTCACCGATGGCTTCATCTTCCACCTTATGTCCAGCACCCAGTAGCGTTCATTATGCTAACCTACCACTCCTGACCTACAGGGAGCAGGAGAAGGCAGGTGCCCAGTGACGCAGACACAAACAGGAAGAAAATGTGCTAGTCATTGAATTAAAAAGTGAGAAGAGGTTCATAATTTTATGGCCGGAGGATATAAGTGTTTCCCTCTGCAAAACATGAACAGTCAAGTGAGTGACTTGCTGCATATTTGTTGCGGCTGTGGCAAGTATTTGTCTTGTTTACACTTGCAGACTAACTCAATACTGGGCTTCTCACAGTGGTATTGGCAGAACACAGAGCCAGCACTGATCAGAGTACAGGGCCACCATGGAGGTCTCCCAAAGGTGCCCAGAGAGGCTCCTATAGAGCTTTTCATGGTCCTTAAGGACATGAAATGGTCACTAAGAGTGTTTTAGGAAGTTACTAGAAAAAAAGACAATTCTTTCCATAGAAATGATCCCAGTTGGACTAGAATGTAATCAATACCATAACAGTGTTCTACAGAGTCTAATCTTTCAGGTCAAGCATGTTCAGTGCTAAATGTGAGTCTTTGTGAGGGTCTGTAATGTACACCCAGCCACGTATGGCCATTATGTTATAATACAGGCGTGGCCCCTCATCCATTAAGCCCTCAGTGCCTGTCAATCACTCATTAAAAAGGCATGTTGTGGCTTTCTCCCAGCCGGCTTGGCACTGGAGTGTGGCCCGTTTTCTTATTCCTCGGGGGGATTTGGAAAGTGGCCGCTCCACCTCCACCCCATCCTGCCAGAACTGCCGGTTCAAAGACTTCCTGACATCTGGCCGCAGCTGTCATTGCCAGAGGGTAGATGGGCAGGGCTGACTGATTTATAGGACGTGATAGAGGGAGCAATGTTTTGTTTCCTCAGTATTTAATGTTGCAATAGAGCAGAGACGTCAGAATAAGTCATAGTGCCAAAATACGGCATATTATAATGTAACAGGGACAACGTATGTCAAGGAAGATCAATTATGGGTCCATAATTGGAATTTTTGATTTATTTAAATTAAACTTCTCCAAAGGGAAAAGAGAAGGGATATTAAGGAAGCTTCAAAGTGACATTTAAAGTGGTCATTCTCTATAATTCGTGGGTCCTTTTTGTCATATTTGCTGAGACAGATAATCTGGTTCCTCTGGCTCCTCGCAGTTCCCCTTATGTTCCCAGGATCCCAAAGCATCTGTATTTGACCCTGGGACTGAGACTCAACAATCACTCATGTTTCTCACCTCTAATTAGTTGTTTTCATTCAGGCCCAGCGGACTCGCTAGAACAAGCCAGAGGAGCCTGATTATTATTTATAATATTATCTCTGTAGCTACTCCATCTTTAATATGAATTCAAAACACAATGATAGTGCCTCTTAAGCATATAGACAATACAACAGGAATATGAGGTAACACTACAGAGATCAACACTAATATATGGTACTTTGCAATATGAATAACTTTAAACTGGAACATGCTATGAAGTGCTTGTATGTAACTTCCTGTACATACTGCTGTGTCTGTGCACTGTGCTTTCTCACTATTGAAGCTCTTTACAATGAGAACAAAGGCAGAGGGAGGAAGCACTTTGTAAAAGGTTGAGACATTCAGAGGCTCATAGAGGGGAGGGGGGCACGGAGCGGTGCTCCAGCAGGATTACTCAACAGGGACAGAGTGTGCATTTTAAGCAGATAACGGAAACACCGTTGGCACGGCACGGCACGGGTTCGTTCCTGGCGATCATCAACATTCATTATTGGTTTCCTCAGTATGTCTGTCAATCACAAAGACGCAGAACAATCGGAGCCCTGAAGTAGTTCGGCACTCTCCGTAGAACCGGCTCAACGCACGAAGTTGGCTAGAACGAGACCGGAAACGGAGTGAATCAGCCTTCAAAATAAAAGTGTCTATTTTGTTTTGCTTCTCATAGTTAAATCTGATTTATTGGATGGCCCCAAGGTATGTTTACAATGCAAGTGTAATAATTGAGAATGCAAGGATAAAAGACAAGATATATTAGTAATAACAATAATAATTCAATTCAATTCAATTCAATTTTATTTGTATAGCGCCAATTCATAACAGAAGTTATCTCAGGACACTTTTCAAATAGAGCAGGTCTAGACCGAACTCTTTAAAACATTATAATAATAATAATAATAAACTTTAAACATATTTATAAAGCTCTTTTCAAAACAAAGTTACAAAGTGCCTTACATGACCGGAACCAGGACATTATTATTATTATTATTGGACATTACTACCTATTACTACATCTATACTAATACAATACTATACTACATACTAGCACACCATAATGACATCAGTGTCAGTTTTTGCCTGTGTAAATAACACATTTTGTATTGGTCTGGGAAAATGTGTTCTATTATTTCATTCCCTCATAAAAAAAGAAGAAAAAAGTTTAAAAGGTGTCTTAGCTTATTATTCAGAATGGAAACTCACTGCAACCTCTCAATATCAGCTCTGAGTAGATGCCATTCAGAAGAGTGCTACATTAGCCACTGGCTGCTAACTGTTACTTATGCATGCTATTCTGCAGATCATATGTGTTTACAACAAGACAAGGGGTTCTCAACCTGTCCTGGCTCATTAGCTCATTTCTAGGTCCCAGAATGACCTCTGTTGAAGGTGAATTAGTTTTATTTTATTGCCATAGATAAAGCTAATAACAGAAAGGATTAAACCAAGATTATTTGTCATACATTTAGTCTGGTCTTTCCACATTATATCTCATTGTTTATATATATATTTTTTATGATGAATTAGGTTCCAACGTTTTCCTTTTTCATTGTACTGTAGTATATGTAGTAACTATATAGTGTATTTTTCCCCCTACTTTCTGAATGATCATATTCACATTGTGGCATAAGTGTACGGTCTGCTTTGACAATACTGTAGGGAATTACATGGTCATGCCAAGAAAGCTAATTTGAATTTGACATAAAGGTCTATATTCATGATTTTGTGTATCACAACGGCCATTTTGCTTTGTCTGTCAAAGCACTTTGTAAACGCTGTTAATAAATGGTGCTATACAAATACACTTATTACTATTATTATTATGTAGGACGGCATGCATAAACACACCTTGTTATTGTGCATATAATAAGTATCTATTGACAGACCTCGATCACGTCCTTTCTAACTAATTTAAATGACCTCTAAAAATAGCTCATGCTGGGAAAAGTGTTACATCATAACCGCTGAGTTTTACTTTGAAACTCACAACCGGAACCCCGGTATTAGCGCGCGTGTAACTTGACGCTGGTACCTGTCACAGTCTCCCGTTCTCCTCAGTGTCTCGCCGAAATGCCGGCTGGTCCCAGCTTCCCGGGGCTCAGGACTAACGGCAGTGTGCTAGCGTTCACCCGCGAAATATACGTCGTAGTTATAAAATGGCGTTTTTAACGTGACCTTGAGTTAAAGGACTTATCACCGGCACGCACAGCGTTTTTCTCTCCGGTCCCGGGGGGTTGTGCTCCTCTGCAGCGCCCTGCATTGTAACGGAATGGGAGCTGGATGAACTGAAAGTCGGACGTGGATACGGGCTGATGGAGCAGGAACGACAGGAGGAATAGAAGCCTGCGGGATCCTGATATAGTGCTCAACGCCGGCATGACCTACATAACCACAGAGCTTAATGGACGCTCCTCAGGACATCTCATCAGACTTTAACTGACGTCCGGTTCAACCTTGTAACACAGTAATAAGTGACCTTCCTTTCTGTGTGCTGCTGTGGAACTATGCACAACAAGACAAGTGAATGTGCGTATGACTGAGTGGAGGGAACCATCCATGCAGCCCATGTCCTATGCAAAATAAGGGAAGATAAACAGCATGAAAAGCATTGCATGCTGGATGTTTTGGTGACCTTTTGTAACGCTCTGGAGTCTAAAGGGAACCAAAAGGGAAAATTAAGCAAGCAGGTTGCCTGAGGCGTCTGGGTGCTACACTCCCTCTCAGTGTATTGCTTCTGCTCTTTGGATTAGTGTACAGCTCACGAGGCCCGCAGTGGAGCCGCGATCAAAGGTCCAAAGAAGAGCAGGGCTGAAAGGTCTTTTGAACCCGGGGCAGCCTGCAGATGCCTTATCTACTCCAAAGCGAGGGATTGTATGGTTGTGGTCACTAATAATGCTGTGATCAGCAATAAACTCAACAGCCAAGCAATAAAAAGAGAAGTGCTTTCAGAGAGAGTCAGACTTTTCTTTTGACTGACTGCAACATATACTGTTGCCGTTATGCTTCTGAACTGCGGGCAGCCGTTACCTCTCCTGAGGCATACAGACGTGCCGCCTCGGGTCATAGAAAACTTCATCCTGACTGGCTACCGCTTCCCAAACTACAGCCTGAAGGACTGCTTACTGTCGGCGTTCAGGCCCACCAATGAAACTGGCAACTTCTGGACACACTTCCTCCCAGTTTTCATCTTTTTATACTATTTTGTGGAGGTGTTTGGTTGGGAAGGTGCACCACCTGGTGACGCCCCGTTCTTCTATCCGCTGTGGAACTACTTTATCGGGGTGTTCTGTCTGCTAATGGCTAGCAGCTTGGCCCACCTGCTCAACTCCATGTCTCTGGTGGTAAGAGAAGTCTGCTTCTTTGTGGATTACGGCACGATCAGCGCCTACACGGTTGGCTCATCGTTGGCGTACTACTACTACATCCACCCTCGGGCAGGGATAGTGGAGACCGGAGGCCACAATGGCTCCCATATGGACTTGAAACCTGAACCTTCAGGGGCTCTTACATCCTTCTATGCAATCCCAGAGTTCAGTGTGTTCTTTGAAACCTTCTACATCCCGAGCGCGTGTGTTGTTGCAATCATTTGTGTTTTATCTTGCTGCAACACTCGCCAGAGGTGGAGAAAGCATCGATACGTCATCCGAACCCTGGTTTTCCTCCTGCCCTTCCTCGTCTCTTCCACGCCAGTCTTCTATCGCCTCCTCACCAGATCACCTTATTCCACCACCTCCACCTCCTTTGCTGCTTCCACCTCCACCTCCAGCTTCTTCTATCGCCACTGCCTCTGGCTACTGGTGTCGGCTGTCTTCAACATCAGCAAGTTCCCCGAGCGGCTAGCCCCGGGTTGCTTCGACATCTGGGGGCACAGCCACCAGTGGTTCCACTGTTGCACGTTTTTGTCCATCCTTGACGAACTCCACATGATCAAGGCTGAGGTGAGGGCAATCCTACTCAGTCCGACCCTGCTGCTGCCCCCTGCCACCCTCTCCCGCCTACCTGGGCCGACCGTACTTTCCACCTACGGGGTGATGCTCTTCCTCCAGACCACCATCATCTCCATCATTGTGTGGTTCTCCTGGCGAGCCAACTGCATCTACGGACCCCAGAGAGACCAGCTGGCAAAGGAACACCCCAAGAAACACCTGAAATGCCACTGATCAGGAGACATCCAGACATCTTTTTCTTTAATCACCTCGACTGTGAAGGAAGATTTGCACATGCATACAGAGCCATGCCACATAGAAAAGCGCACAAGTAAAACAATATTTCCCTTCCAGATTTCAAGTCCGTCGTATGTTCCAACCCCTTTGACAGCGTTTTAGAAGCTTTCATAGGGGGAAATTGGGGACGACGACAGATGAAAGGATTACACTCTGAGCTCTCCACAGGGTGGCTGTCTGGTTGAGTGGATATTGAAAGACCTTGCCAGTTCTGTCCCCTGAGCCCCGGCATGTTCCAACAGGAAGTGTGGCAATAATAACTACCTCTAGGGACTGTACACTTGAGGACAGTGGAAAGGTGTTGCTAACCCGGAAAACACATGTCCGATATAACATTTGGGTAATATGGGCTTAAATGTCAGCATGACCATATGTCAAGTAGTTTCTCCTGTTGCGTTTCCCCTTCCTCCGACCTTAAACTGTGTCTTTCGAAATTTCCCTGCTCTGGTTGCAGTTCAACCCATTGTTTCACATTGAATTAATCCTTTTTCTGACCTTTGTTGACCGCACCTTCCCTTCCTTCGACTTACACGAACGCTCACACGCGGTCTCATTTCCTCCCTTTTTTCAAGTGACCCTTGCAGCAGGAAGTGCGGTGGCCTTGACGACGCAACAGAAATAGCTGAGAGCTCATATCAGTCGTACAGTAAAGCACTTTCAGGGGGGCCAGTCAGACTCGCCCTGTCATTAACTTAAGAAGCCATGCTCGCTTTGTAACCTCAAAGGACGTGCAACATCTCTGAAGCATATAATGACGTCCTGCTGACATGTTCTGTTGGTCTGTTTAGATGTGAGATGTATTCATAGTGCAGTGATCTGCTGTATGATTTTCATTCCACTGATGACTCGTTCCACATAGATTACGTTCACACTGCTTGAAGTGCTCTAGTTCAGATTAAATGTGATGTTAAATCTGATGTTTTTTAATCAGTATGAAAAGAGTACTGGATTTGTCTGCAGAAGTGGTACACGCTCTGTGGATGCGTGTCTTGAGCAGCTCCAGTTCATTGTGAACGTAGATGAAATGAGGACAATGAAACCAGAGGTTGCTGTGTGATGTACAGCAAAGTTTCAGACCAAAAGCCATAGTGTGGAAAAGTGATAGTTGGAACAATAGCTGCAATAATGTAGTTGTACTACATTATCAGGAACTTCCTGGATAGATTTGCACTCGGTGGATAGATCAGGTAGTTGCTCACCTCGCAGTTTGTACCTTTCGTGTTTTATCATTACATTCATGTCACAGAGCTAAGCCTCACGTTTCTCAAAAATATACACCCGGCAATCTTTGAAAAACCCAGTGGCCATTTAACAGCACTGAGCGCAGTTCTGAAGGCATTCCCATAATCCTCACTCACTCTTATACAGAGCCCCTGAAGTCTCGCAGAGGACATTTTCTTGTGCACATGATGAAGAGTAAAAAGAAATACATTTATCTTTGGGACTATGTAGCCTTCCAACCATCTGACAAATAATTATTTTGTCCGCAGCGTCATTAAAAAAACAGACGGACAAGCGATTGAGGAATGTGGAAGTATCTTCAGAACAACATTAAATGTTTAAGGACCTTCTGGGTTTTTAAAGATCGGCCGGTATTTATCATTTCAGAAGTTGGAGAAGAATTCACCATGTGGATTAAATGCTCACATTACCGGAGAAACTACCATCTCTTTACTCAACTTTTAACTGCATGAAGCGACAATTAGCCTTATTGTTATCAATTATTTATGTGCTGTAGTTTTTTCTAGAATTCTCAAAAAAGACCCAAACCCAACAGACCCCAATTTGTTGCCTATAGCTACGGACACGGGCCACGTTTGGTTTTGATTGTTTTAAATCCAATTTATTAAGAAATTCAATTTTTCTCTCTTTGACTGTGTCAACTGTCTGCATCCATGTTTGTCATGTGTTCCTAGTAGATGTCCAGATAGAAAGGGGGACAAGAGACATAGTGTTACCCTGGTAACGGTCAGTAACAGATCAAATAAAGCAAAAGTACAGGCTTCATGGTTAAACTAATTTTCTAATATCCCAGCAGAAAAGAAAATAGGTACACAGTCTAACACATATTCAGATTAAAAGTCATAGATTTAGTTTGATGAAACATTTTCATTTCTGCTGGGTCACATTTAGTGACGGGTTCAATTCTATTCAGTAAACAGTTTTTTCCTGTCCATTAACAAGACAGTACGGCTTCGTTCACACTGCAAGCCTTAGCACTCCATTCTGATTTATTGCTCAGATCTGCTTTTGTTTGTTTGGCTCTTTGTCTCCTTGTTAAATGTGGCCCATATCAGATTCCAGTGTGAGCAGCTCTCGGTCCTGAAGTGACGAGACTAGACTGACGTAAATATCTGATATGACTGTGTCACACTGCAAAGAGTGAGACCTGTTTCTGGTTTGGACCACTTATGAAAGTGGCCTGAATAAGAACTGTAAAGATCAGATTCCATGTGATTTGTGCTGTTCACACTGTCAGAAAATCAGATCTGAGCCACTTTAGCCTGCAGTCTGAGCCCTATGTGCTGTAGTGAACCTGAGCCTGACCTGATGAGGGGAGAGGAAATAAGATTTAAATATTGAATGGTAGAAAATAATTCCTTTGTTCTTGTTAATTTGCACACTGAATGGACAAGATTAATTGGGAGAATGTGTGTTTTCACTGCGTGTTTTTGTGTGATTCTGTCATGTCCTTGGTGATTTTGTCCTGTCAAGCAGTCTGTCTCAGAGGGACTTGTGCTGCATCCACATGGAAACGCTAGACGCCGTGATTGTCCAAAGTTAAAATATTTAAACTTTTTGACATCCTTAAAACCGGAGGCTCCCTCACACAAGGAGAGAACATGGGCATCTGGACAAGACGCTAATTACATAAAATAGCACGTACAAAATAATTAAATTTTATATATTTTATTCCATTGTTTAATGAAACGGCATGACCAAACATCTGTTTCATTTTGCTGTCTCGCCATTGCGTCTGACAGTTTCTGTGTTTTTCCTGTGCTGTCCAGAAGGTGCTGTCCGTCTGTCTGATTCCATGTGAATGCATCATTAAATCTTAAGCTGTAAGCTCTTACTCATACCTCACATTTACATGTTGATAACTCGTGTTGTCTACTTCCAGAAATGTTCTAATTAACACTGTATTATCTCTACTCATATCTGCACATTTACTTGTTTTGATGCATTCATTTGCACAAGAGAACATTGATTAGAGTTGTTAATTATGTACAACACTGGAATGAGTACATAAGGACCACATTGAGAGGTTGTGATAATCATGCTGTTATGGTGCACTTTAAAGCTGCTTTAAAGCTCCACGAAATGTTCCTTTAAGGGTCAGCAGTACTGTATTATTTCAGGTTCAGGTAGTGCTTTCTAATCAGACAGTTGGAGAGATTCTTCAGATAACGATGTTGAAGCGATGTTTCTACCTCATTGGAGCATTTCTGTCACTGTCACTGAGAAGAACCATCGTTGAAACCGATCCCTCGCCCTCCGAGACTGTGCATGACACACTTGAATCAATCAAGGCAGTGTTCGGTGTGTGAATGTTAAGACTTACAGACTACTGTATCTTACCTAGTGAAGCACTCAGGGGTGACTGAAGAACCACACTAATACATTATTCACACATGCATTAAACTATGAATTAGTAGTGGTGGGGGATAATTATAGGTGTGTTAATGCTGAAAAAGTGGAAAAAAAAAACCTCCGTTATGTTAATTGTTGTTTCAATAGCACTAATATGAATGATTTGAGTTTTATTGAATAAATTATGCAGCGAACTGTTATACTTGTGGCAGTGTATTTATTTTGTGTTTATGATGGGTGTCAGTTGGGTATTGGCTCCGGAATTTAGCCAAAATGGGAAATGTTTTTAGTTTCATGAAGTTAACTTTGAACATTTTCAATGCAAATCAAATTCATTTTGCATATTTAGCATTTAAAGTTGGTCAAATCAACACCCGATGTCTTCTGTGGTTATTGATCCATTTTTCCATGTTGAAAACCATTGTTGTTATTAGCCAGTCCCATGATACCTTGGGCTGAGTCTGTGTTCCTGACTTTACCAAAGCTCTGACCTCAAAGTATGTATTAAGATCCATCCCATTCCCCTATTAAGATATCCAGAGGGTAAACAGAGCATTGCTTATCATGAAACACATTTTTAAAATGAACATGGTTTATAAAGACAAAAATGTGGTCAAGTAAACCTTGACAATTTAACTGTTTTTGTAATCTGATTACATAATCCCAATTACTTGTATGACATCAGTTAATGCTGATGCAAAATTTGGACTTCAGTATAACAGTACACCTCTTAGAATAAATCAACAGCATCTCACAATAAAACATTAGTATGTAAATGTGAACTATGGTGGTCAAGCTGTACGACGGTATCCTAACTACACATTACAAATGAAACAGTTACATGGTAACATGGGACTTTGTATTCATTTCAAATACTGATGTATGGTGATGGGATTCACAAACTTGGATATACTTTTTGTGACACGCTGTGTGTGATGTGTACATTATTTTGTTGGTCTGTGCTGTGCTTGTGCACACACAGCTTATATGATGTGATGTAAGGATGGTTGGCATTTTGCTTAAGAAATGAGCGGTTTGTTTTGGTGATAACTCTTACTCCCTCCATGCTGTTTGCTTGTTGAACTGGTTGGACTATTACGGTTAGCATGGAATTTATGTTTGATAGCTGAAATTGTCATAGGTAGTGTTAGCAATGATATAGGAGAGGGCTAGTAAGTTGGGCTAGTAGGTTCCAGTGAGGGAAGTTGGGTCAGAGGACCAAGTGTCCATGCTGGGCGGAGGAATGATTTGTATTTGTCCAGAAATGGTTCCAGCTACTAACTCTAAATAATAAAATAAGACAGTTAGAAGTTGTGGAAGGTGTATTTTTGAACTTTGGACAGAGCCAGGCTAGCTGTTTCCACTTGTTTCCAGTCTTTATGCTAAGCTAGGCTAGCTAAATTGTGACCCCTGACTTAATGCAGAAGACTGATATTGATCTTATTGCCAAAAGAAAGAAAATAAGGCCTTAAAATATTGACCTGTTTCATTCAAAAGTGAGAGTTTCAGATGTCGTAAAATGGCTGCTGTTTTGCTTTCTAGTGCAGTGGTTCCAAACCTGGGGTCTGCAACCACCACTAGGGGTCACCAAGCACTCACAGGGGGTCGTGAGGCCTTATGGATTTTAAGGGGTACACAGTTGGCCTATATATCTGTAGTTTGTTTAATGGAATTGTTATTTTTAAAGTTTATATTAGTTAAGATCTAAACTCTGAATAGCTGAACACAAACTATATTCACAGAGCCTTCAGTCTCTGATAAACAGCCTCCTCCTGCAATAGAAAAGTCAAATTGAAACAACCAAAGAGCTGATAGAACAATAATCTATTCAAAATCCATGAACTTTACTCAATAATAGAAAAGGGGTGCCTTAAGGAAAAAGGTTGGGAACCACTGTTCCAGTGTGTAACTAGCAGCAGCTGCTCAGAGCTGCTAGCATAGCTACAGACAAACTCAAAGGGTTAGGTGAATTGAAGTCTTTGGTTTCCAAAGGTTTGAATAATTCAAATGTTTTCAAATGAGTTCCGACCATGTGCTGGTTTGCAAGTGCAGCCCTCCCTCAGCTCTGTGTGCACATGCTGTAGGTGTGCTGGACCTTGGCGGGGTCATATGTGCGGGCAACACGTGCAGCTGGCTTTTCATGTCAACTTTTCAACTCCACACCTCCCCCACTCCGGTTTTTTCCATCCCTCTGTCTCTTTTTACTGTGACGTCCTGAGCTGCAGACAAACGGCGAGTGAAACATGAACCTCAGTCCTGCCTCAAGTACAGCGGAACTACTGCCAGATCAATGGAGTCTCAGATAGACCCGTCATTTCTCAGAGAGCAGGGGCTGCTGGGAGTAATCACTAATGAATGAGTGGAGCAGGAGGAGGATGACAGTGAAGGTGTCAGACATCCATCGCCGTTTTCCCTGACAGCCTACCAGAGTTCATCCTCCCTACATTCAGTGGTATCACTTAATCTTCTCATGATGAAGGTGGTCCGAGAAGTTCATGGAGAAAATGACGCCTGATGGTTAAAAGTGTCCCCATAGCAGCAGGACAGTGAGGTCTTGTCATCTGGATTTAATCTGGGAATCTGAGCATTTGCATTATCGCAACCTGGGTGTAGTTATTATTTGAATTTTTTTTTTACATGAGGTGCTATTCATAGGCCGCTTCCACTGTGTTTGATTTCATTTTTATGTTGAATTAGGCAATACATTGAAATTCCTCACCAGAACTTCCAAGCAATGTGGAAGAAGCTTTTGAAACAGCCTTTAGACTGGACTACTATTTAGACTTTGGGCAATGTCAAAAGTCAGTTAGTTAGTTTTGGGATACAGCCTCTACATTTACATTTTGGCTAATTGCCATTAAAAGTATGCTGAATTAGCCTTGAGCACTTCCTGCTTGCAGTGTACCCATGGATGTTCAGACAACTGTCACTGCATTACTTTTGACACTGACAGAAACATAAAAACGTGATGATTCATGATGCTGTTATAGGGAGTGTCTTTTTGTCCATGATTTTTAAGCAGAATTATAGACATCAAGATAATGACACCCCTGGCACGTGTAAATCACCATCAGTGATTTTTGGCACAGATTGCAGCAATCAGTCGCTAATCGATTTAAAGTACCTGGATCAGCATGAGCTGTGAGTCACATCCACTGCTGACCGTGCTGGTGAGTGGGCAAAATCAGCAGCCAAACCACAATACTGTACTGCCTCAACTACCTGCACGCACCTGTCTCCTGTTTAAAAGAGATGGTGTCATGGATTTGAATATTTCACTGAGTGTTTCAAATACTGCAGCTTCATGTGTTAGTATATACATATATATGTATATATGGAACACTGCCACAGCACACACTTCATTTGTAACTGCTTCAGGGGGAAACTGGGATTTAATTTAGCTTCTGAGGGTTTTCAAACATCTGGTATTTTACTCCTAATGCTGTTTCAACTTGTACATTGTATTTAGTGTGACTGAAATACAGTGCTGCTCATATTACCTGCATTTCAGTACAAATGTGGCAGTACTATATGTGTTCCCTCTCATTAAACCCGCGCAGTGCACCCTCCAGCTGGTTAAGTGAGGACCGGATAGGAAATGTTCCCACTCACAGTGTGAAGGAACATCAGAGACAGCTCAGCCAACCACAAAGCTCTCATTTCTCCTCTCCATGTCAGTTTTATAAAACTCTACCGTAGACAAGTGGCTTAAAAACTCAGTCTTTTCCTAACTTTTGACAATTCTTTGAAAAAACCAGGATCAGTGACAGCAGTGAACAAACAGCCTTCAGCCTATTTATGGACTTCAAGAGCTTGTGGGAGCTATTTTAAGACTCATATTCACGAGTGTATTAAGAAAAGACAAGCATTCCAATATAGTCCCGTAATTGTGTTAGCGTTTGAAGTTTAGAGTGCTGCTACAATGAGCTTCAAGCTGACTGGAACAACACACATTTATGTTGGTCCCTTTGACAAAAAAATCCAATTAAATTAGAAAAATTTAAATAGAAAATGAAATTTAATCCACGACAGGAAAACCATTCCAAACAAAGAAAAATCACATTTTATTCTATTTTTCAGTAATGTGTGGCATAATGCATTCAGGCATAGTGTAACGAACATGGCACAGTTAAACAAAAACATGGTTTTTATCAGTCTTGTCAGAGTGTTTTAGGATTAACGAGCATAAAGACAGTTATCTTTGAATTAAGATGATCACATAGAAAGTCATTAAGGCAGACACACTGACAAAAGCAGATTTATAATACAGTTTGGAATGTTTTCTATACAGTGATCAGAGAGAGGCGGGAAGGACAACATGACATTAAAATGAATGTTTGGTAGTGAATGAGTGACGACCTGAAGGGAGGTCTGATGAAAACAGTGCTGTCACGCTGCCATACCAGGTAACCATTACTGTATTACAGTATTCCACCACAGTGGCTTCAGAAGGAACAATGAACCAGAACAATATTCTACTCAAATCAAGTCACATTCCATTTCTTCCTTTATGATTCACAACCAATAACCTAACCCCTCATACAACAACCTCACCTTATGGCCCATTCAGTAGCTTTTCCTGAGCTTTCAATCATATCACAAGGTCTTCCTCACCAGTATACCCAGTCATCATGCAACTGTAGATGTCTTCATTGTTTCCTGAGCGCTTCAAGGACTTCTCTAACGTTCATTCTTTTTGTCATGGTCAAGAATGAACGTAGGTCCTTGTTTTTAAAGATTCTTTCTGGTTTATTACACCGTGGGTCGTTTCTATAAAAGGGATTTTATTGACACGTCTTCTCTTATTGCTGCAGTGCTGTTTATGATTAACGGAAATGTGAAGAGATTCAGTGCTCTGCCTTAAAGTCTACAAGAACTGACCAGATCTTTAAAGTAGTTTGTAGCTTGTTCAGAATGAACTCTGCACAGCGGTGTCGAACACAGCGGCTGTGGATGGAGATGTGGCCGGGGTGCGTTTGTTTTGCATTACTCACCCAGACACGTTGTGTGTATCCTTGAGGTCTAACGTTGCATTTCTATGCATTTCCTTCCTCATTCAACAGTTGCAGAGTCATTTTCTGAAACCTTGTTTACATACGTTAACTAGCTTCTTCTTCCCTGTCTTTGTTGGCACATTACCGCCACCTGCTGATCGGTGTGCTCGCTGCACTTATTATTACACTGACAGTAAAAAAAGTCTTTGGACTGTGTCATTACCTCTGTGCTGCCTGCTCTGACACCCTGCTAATCTAACTTCCTCGTTTCCTCAGTAGTGATAGAAGAACTGGCCTTCAAAATGTCTTCAGTCACTAACTCATTTTGGAGGCATCCTTTCTTGAGGCATACAGGATGTTGCTGTACGTGATATTTTTTGTGGCAGTCCTCAGTGACAGGCAGCAGGAGTTCAGTGTGGTGACAGGGTAGGAGGGAGAGGACAGGAAGTTAGCCAAAATGCTGATTTAACTTACATGGTACTGTTGTACCAGAGAATATCTGTTGGTACCGTCAAGTTACACATTTGTACACCCAGTTCTGTTTAATAGCAATTCAATCGGATCAGAACCAAGATCCAAACTAAGACCCAAGTTGTACTAAACCGGATTAATCCTTTGCCGAGTACTGCTGTCTGACTCAAACCAATGACTAAAGTAAACATTCAAACAAACACCCCCACAGAGAGGATGCAGCAATGAGTCAATCTTATTAATAGGAAATACTGGAGGACTTCTACTTGAGCTGACACTTTAACTCTTTAAATCTTCTTAACTAAATATTAACATCTCATATCTATTGACCCCCAGGTCTGCTGTGTAATTAAAAGTAGTAGCAGCAGTCTCAAAAATGAGAATATTGTGATAGATGCTGTAAGTGGCTCTTTGCACCAAACATGGACAATGACTGGATTCTTTTTGGACGGTATTCTTCTGTCATCCGTTACATGAGCTCACTACGCTGGCGTCAAATCGGACTGCAGCTGAGGATTAGAAAAAAACGTGTTGCTCTGTTCCTATTCGGTTAGTTTTCAGACATTTTGCGTATCATGTAGTTGAGGATTCCTCCGTGGTGGAAGTACGTCAGCTCCACGTCGGTGTCAAACCTCATCCGCACTTGGAATGTTTTCCCTGTGTCGAGCTGTGAGGGGAGAGAGAGACAGCATCAAGCGTCACATTACCTAAACTGTGGAATGATGTTGTACAAGATCGCGTCCCTAACGGACCTTCACGTCCACCGTCATCCTGGGCGTGAGCGGCTCGGGGATGATGACGGTGTAGCGCTCTCGGCCGGTCAGTCCCAGGCTGTCAGCTGTGTTCCCGGGTAGATACTCCAGAGGGATCACTCCCATCCCAACCAGGTTACTGCGGTGGATCCGCTCATAGCTCTCTGCTAACACGGCCTTAACGCCCTGAAAACAAACAAAAAGCTCATTATACACCCTTTAACATTCGCTTCTTCCAGCAACATCACAAGTTCCACACTTAAATCACGCAGTGACAACTATATTTATTTTATGTTCCGGATGTGCCTCGACTTTCCCTTTTTTGCCACGAAATGAACAAAACTCAGGGTTTCTGCAAGGGTTCACCTAAATTCAAGACTTTTTAAGACCTTTTTAATATCAGGATTTTCCAAAGTCATCCCAACAACTGTCACGTTCAGTTTATAATTCAGTAACGTCTACAGACAACCACATCCAGAAACATTTTCTAACCAACATCACTGCCTACAGCAGGCAAGAGGAAATATTCCAGACTTGTTAATACTTTGAATAAGTCTCAGTCATTATGATGGTCTCAGAGTTCATCTTATTTCTTTGGCAATGACTTTCCAAACACGAAGAACACAGCGAGTCAAAGTAGGTGAAGGGGATCTATTCAGGGCTGCATCTCCAATTTCATTTATTTACTACACCACCAACAACTGTGTCAATCAGCATTCAAACATTGATTGAGTTGTCTCCTGCCTGCATGGGGTGCTGTTATGTGCTCTGTGTCTGTGACTGCTTGTTGTATGTTCTTTTTATGTCCCACACTGTGAGTCAGTTTCCCTCTGGAATCAGTGAGTTATTCAATCTACTCACCAAACTGCTTCCACCAGTGACGACAATGTGATGCATGATGTGAGTCTAGCTTAATGTTGTTTACAGAATATGATTATGCATTTTCTTTTCCTGGTTACTAAGACGTGATCCTCACCAGTAGAAAGGGGCCCTTTGCTGCCCAGTCTCTGGAGCTTCCTGAGCCGTACTCCTTCCCTGCTAGAACCAGCAGAGGGACTCCTGCCTGCTGGTATCTCTCTGCAGCATCAAACACATCCAGCTGCACAAAAAAAGGGCAAATTATGAAGGAGTTAGTCCAAATGTAACAGTTCATGTAGCCTACACAATGTGAGGCAGCGCTGAGGTGTTTGCTTGTTCAAACAGAAGCATCTTGTAGAAGTTTTCCTGCTTGTTGACACAGAAACAATTAACCCCTTCTTAAATCCCGCCCCTTTCCTCTCTCTGCTCCAATAACAGTTGAGAAAGCCTCAGTCAGAATCTTGTCCATCTTTCTCTTTTCCAGACACGCTATGTGCTAGGCTCGTCTATCTTGAAAAGATAACCAAGATGGTTAAAAGATAGCAAGTTAAAAGAAGTTGGCAAATGTTAACTAATGATTGATTTGAATTAGCTAGCTAGCTAGTTAGATAATATTAGCTACAGGAAAGGAGAAAGTTGACTGAGGTTCTGGCCGAGGCTTGCTCAACTGTTACTGGAGCACAGAGTGAAAAGGGGCGGGACTTTGGAAGGGTCAACTGAGTTAAGAGCATGTTGTTGAACTCGAAGAATGACTTCAGTCAGACAGCACAGCATTGTTAGAAAGTCCCAGAGGGGTGCTGCATGCTGACCGTTTCTCCAGTTGGCAGGTGAATGGTTTGTGGCGCCTGCTTGTTGAGGAACTTGTTAAAGAGGCGGATGTTGGCAAACGTCCCTCTGGCCATAACAGCGTCGTTACCTCGACGGGAGCCGTACGAGTTGTAGTCACGAGGGGTCAAACTGAAAAAACACAACAATTGGATACAACTCTACATAAAAAACTGCTGTGAATTCACAGTTGAAACCGTAGGGGTCACTCACCCTCTGCTGGTCAGGTGGCGCGCTGCAGAGCTATTCCTGGCGATGTTCCCTGCAGGAGAAATGTGGTCTGTTGTGACCGAGTCTCCCAAGTTCAGCAGCACGTAGGCGTCATGTATGGACTTGGGTGGCTGCAGCTTCATGGTCTGAATAAAGACAATGCGACAAAAAATTATTATATATATATATAGAATAGAAACACTGCTTATTTTTCCAACTCTGGCCACAAGCTGGAGGAGTTCAATGTTGCATTGTCAGTCGAATGTTATTATAAACTAGAGGTTTTTATGCTTGGCAGATTTAACAAAAAAGGCAGAGGGGAATCCCTCTATTGTAACAATGATCATGAAAACAGCCCTTTACACTTAATTTTAATAAAAACGTTGCTAAAAATCAGGACACCATATTTAAAAGTCCAGTTTTACATTTTATTTGCAAACAGTGTGCACATGGTGGCCTTTATCCATCAACATCACAGAACCAAGGTTAATGGCTTAAATGGAAGAAGACACTTATCATTAAATGTGTAAGCATTAATGACTTTATGACACTTATTTTCATTGCTGTTTTGGCCGTAGTTCCACATTTCCAAAGATGAAAATTAAAACTGGATTTTAAAAATGAAATGCGTTCATATATCATACGCACATTAATGTAAAATGAAACTAGTATTAGATTAGATGGTTTCATTTTAATAATGGCAGCCTTCCATTTCCATATACTAGCACTGGTAGTAGTTGCAGTAGTTTGGGAAGATGTATCTATGGTATATATTTACCAAACCATCAAAGAACGGTGGTGACTTGATGTAGGTTGATTTGGGGTCCCAGGTATACAGCTTGTCAGAGGGAGCAACCAGAGAGTTCCAGCGTTCGTTCACTTTCTGCAACAACACAGAAGATTCATGTCAGTCACACATCTACATTACACTGCTGGAATGCTTGCCAACACAGTGAAGGTAACACTACCTCAATCTTCTCATAGACTTCTTTGAACATTGATGGGATGACATAGGTTCTCTCCACAGCCTGAATCTCCTCCCGTGTGGGCCAGATATCCCTCAGGAAGATCTCTTTGCCTTCAGAGTTAATGGCTACAAAGGAGACAAAGGACGAGGGGGATCAATGACCTCCTACCTTTCATTTAACACACGTAAAAAGCTCAAATGAAATTTCAAAAGCTAGTCAAGACAGCCTGTTCAGGCCTAGCAGTGATTCTGATCTAAAAGAGGATACATTTTGATGTACTGGCCCTCAGGAACATCAAGCCAGGCAGCTCTATTTCTATAGTCAGAGGATGGATTGTAGAGCAGGAAGTCAGTGTAGACGGGAATTCAGTTGCTACTGCATTAGAGGCACCAGTTAAGAGCTTGGGGTGCTGGTACAATACATATTCAGGGGTACAAACCAAGCAATCAACCATTGTCCCAAGTTCTTTTCTTATCCTTTTCAGCCCAGTTGAATTCAAAATTCAACTGGGGTTTTATTCAAACCTTTGAAACCTGTGTAGTATCTTTAATGCAACAGGCTATTTAAAGTCTGGCTATAGTCTACAGGGCATTTACAGTTGAGAAAAAAAAGAGCATAATTTAGACTGTGCATCGTGATTCCAATTAAAAAAGGTCAGGATATTATTTTCTGGTCACGTAATGATTAATTTCTCTACTGTCCCAGAATTGTCCCCAACACTGTACTTTTGTGTCCCAGGTGCTATCTTTTTTTTTTTTAATGTCCCCAGGACAACAGGGCATCCTTAATTTCAAGCACTGCCTGTTTAGATTGCTCAATCCGTTGTTGTGGACACTGAATGAATATGGAGGTCCCCATCACTCAAGTTGAAAAACTGGAGAGGACGGTCAGTTCCCTCATTAAAAAGTGGCTGAGACTGCCAAGATCTCTGAGCTGCATCTACTTCCATAACAAAGGACCCCTGGAACTGACTCTCCATGGCTTGACTGAAGAATTCGAGTATGTTAAGGCGAGACTTGAGATGACTCAGTCGGAATCCTGGGACAAGGTTATCAACAACTACATCAGCTATTAGAGCGGCAGGAAGTAAAGGTGGAACAAAGACGAAGGGGTCCTGGCAAAACGTCAAACAGGCACTTCTGGCACGCAGTGACAACTCCACAGCCAAGGCGAGTATTAGCAATGGAGGAAAGGGGAGAAGAGCTGGGCAACAAGATAAGCAACATCTACCCAACCATTTCCACATTTCCTGCTCACCAAAAGGGATTCAAACATCTAGTCCTATGTGCTGACATTCAGACTGCACTGCAAACATATGAGTCAGTCTTATATCCATAGGCTGGAAGCTATCTTTTTCAATGTCAAGCTTGTCAAATCCTATTAGAACTGTGTTGTCTGTGGAAATGTATTTTTTAAATCCAGAGGCACACTGTAGCCACTCCAACAGCATCCCATTGTGAAAACAAAGTAACCTTTAGATTCTACATCTGGCTCCAACTTGCATGTATAATGACATCTGTAAACAGACCCAGATATGACTGTTTAACCATGATGTATTGAACTTGTAAGGGATAAAGAGGTCCCAGACTGGGGTCTAGCCAAACTGAATAGAACCACAAAACTGGGTCTTAGCAGCAATATCAGCCTGTGTTACTTAAAGAGTAAATACTCCCTGGGTCATGTGTGCTGGATTATGGGGACACAGAGACCACAACCACTAAGCGTGACTAGCATGCATAGTGACGTGCATGCCTGTGGTGCTAAGAGGCAGGGCTGAGACCTGAGACGAGAGACGAGAGAGAGAGAGAGAGAGAGAGAGAGAGAGAGAGAGAGAGAGAGAGAGAGAGAGAGAGTGTGTGTGTGTGTAAGGTGCTACCTCTGTAGCAACCTGGCCACTGACAGTTTGGTCAGAGATTCTGGTGTTAGGCTAGCAGTGGCAAGCTGCCCAGGTTTTATTCCATTTCCAAATTGTAGTTTTCAGCCTCAACCAATGCTGACTCAAGTAACATCACTTGAGGACATTTATCCAACTTTACACAGCACAACCCTGCTCAGTGTGACACAAAAACGAGAGCAGATTATGATCTCATCATTGGCCCTGCTTCACCAATCTGTTTTTAGAGCCAGATTTTACGATTAAAACTTCAACCAGCACATTAAAAATATAACTACTCACCAATGGGCTCTTTCTCAAAGTCTATCCTCACAGTGCCGGCGATTGCATAGGCGATGACGAGCGGGGGAGAAGCCAGATAGTTTGCTCTGGTGTTGGGGTGGACTCGCCCTTCAAAGTTTCTGTTTCCTGATAAGACTCCTGCAGCAACCAGGTCTCCCTGAAACACAAATGAACGTAAACACCTCAACTTATATGAGCAAGAAAGAAAATACTGTATGTATTTATAGTTTGAAATGTATCACTGATGTACATGGATTGTAAAATGAGAGAGGATGTGTCATGTAAAGAAAAAAGTAAAAGAGAAAAAGTACAAGCAAACAAAAATAAAGAGTGAAGGTAGGGTCAGTGCCTACAATATTCCTGCTACCACAGGACATGTAACAGTGAGGAATGCTAGAAAGAGGGAAAAAAAGATAAATGAAGAGGAGAAAGAGCTAATGAGTGCCTGTAGATGTGAAATGATACAGTAGGGATGTGGACACAGCCTCTTGGTACCTGGGTTATGGCCTCCACCACCGGCTCTGGCAACGGCCCACTGTTGCCTATACAGGTCATGCAACCATAGCCAACAACCTCAAAGCTAACAGGAAAGACAAAATGATTGTTTACAAAAGGTGTCAAATGACTTATTTACCTATGCATCAACAGCTAGACTGTCAGTAAAGGTAAAATGTAAAAATACATTTTTTTATGTAGTAGACAGGTCATATGAGGACATATGCAGTGAGACTACAGAAGACATTTTGCTTTAATGTGGTGAGTCTAAGTAGACCTAACACAGTATTGACTTTTCAAAGCAGAAATATTGGACAAGATGTATCAATCCTCACCCCACTAAAAATCACATGAGCACATTGAGTGAGGCCTGGTTACGTAACACTTGTATTAAAAAGGTGTTGTATTGGGTTTGTGCTTTACAATCTGCCAGTGTTTAAAAGCAGACTGTAGTTCTGTGGTCAGTTTTCTAATGGTGACCTTTACTCATGGTTTCTGATGTTTTAAGACAATTATCAATGCAATTTAAGACCTATTTCATGTCCACAAAAAAGTATGATGATGGATATGAAGGAAATCAGTATTGGTTGCATGTCAGTTGTTTTGTAGTTGTTACAGCAAAAAGATTTTTAAGATCATCATTTAAAATCACATCTTTGCCCCCACTAAATGCTGTTTGCTGATCAAGTACTGATCAATAACTCCAGTAAGTGAACTCTGACTCCGTTTTATCATGCCGTTGTATTTAAGACTGACATACGGATGCAATACCAAGGACAGCCCAGCAGATGTCACCATTTTACTGCATCAAATGCTTCAAAATAATGAACCATTTTCTGCACAGTTTGTTCATACTATTGTCTGTACCTAGCTCTTTAATATGCCTGTATGTATTTGAAGGCTGCAGGCCATGTAGCAAATCAGAGCAGAACTGCTTTATAGCATTATTGGATGTACAGAATGTTTTGCATCAATGTGATAAAGTACCTTCATTTGTCAGCTTTACTGGACTAGACAAAACAAATATTCACATCTTGTTTTATCAATGAATAATGTCTCAATTGGATTTCTAGAATATTTTGGAAGGATAAAATGTCCCACCCCTAATAAAAACAATATACCATTTGGCCAAAGTCTGGTCCCATAAATGTGGATATAAAAGCAGGATATGTATTTTGTAACATATTTACTGGTGACACTGGTTTTTAAATCACATGTCAAATCACTCTATCTGCTTGACTGAAAAGGTGACTATTGACTAAAAAGGCTAGTAAGTGGACCTAAAGTTTTATTGTGTGTGTCTAACTACTGTTTTCCAGGGTACAAAATAATGGGCCTTTGCCTTGAAAATGTGTGGGATCAACCATACATATAGACAATTGACTGAATGACAGATTTTAGCAGCTTACCCCAGCTTAAAGAGGTAGTCCATAACACCACTCTCCTTTAGGTAATAGGTGACCACTCCACTGCCAGGTGACAGGCTGGTCTTTATGTACGGCTTCACGCTTAAGCCACACTCTACTGCCTTCTTAGCAAGGAGCCCTGGAGGAAGAGCATTGACCTTTACTAACTTTGTCAAATAACAGAACAAATAGCAGTACAATCAGTCTCCACCCTGACTAACATACACCTCCCACCATATCCCAGAAAGTCCATTAAGAGAAGTAGTGTACACCTACCTGCTCCCAGCATGACAGATGGATTGCTGGTGTTGGTGCAGCTGGTGATGGCAGCGATCACCACCGAGCCGTGGTTTAATGTATACTCTTGTCCATTAAACTGGAAGGGGACTGCAGTGCTGTGACGCTCAGGAGCCACTTGGAAACCCTTGAAACCTTGCTAAAAATGTCACAACACAAAATATGAGTGGTTAACCAAAGCCCTGAAAGCAGCAGCAACTGAGTCATGGACATAATTTAAAGCCATTACTGAACAAAAGGGCAGGGGACTGTTTGAACTGTTTTGATACTTAAGGATTATATATATGAGATTTAAAACATTAACATAGCAGCAGACATCTATTTGCTATGTAATGATACAGTGGAGTCATGGTGTCACACTCCCTCTGCCTGTGTTGTATCGCAGCCTCTCTGTGGTTTGTTTCCATAGCTGGTCTCATCCGTGTGCAGCTGTACAGCGACTGAAACTGCTGTTTTTATCTTCTACGGCGGTGAATTAAGGATTTATTTGGACCAAAGCAGAGTTGGTGATTGTTGGAACAGTGGAAAGAAAGATTGTTTTGAGGAGTTTTATTTAGTTTTTGTACACTTTGAATGAAGTCACGATGACACACAAGGTAAATTTACAGTTTTTGTCTATGGAGTCTGGTGGAGAGTGATTGTGATATTACAGCTGATTCTGGTTAAACAAATGGTCTATCTCTGCATGGATCCTTTCCTTAATGTGGTCAGACATTTGTCCCCAAGTATTAACATGTTACATTGCAGCCATTCGAACCCTTTTCACAAACATTGTCACACAACTCAGTGAATTAGGGGTTTATTTCAACCAAACCAGAGTTGATGATTGTTGAAGATTAGATGAAGACTAACATAGACTGTTTTGGTGAGTTTTATTTTTGTTTTGGTCTGAGATGCTGGTGCTCTAGTGGCAACTGAATTTCATAAATATATAACCTTTAAGCTTAAATAATACTAGTTTTTTCAGCACATAAACGTGTAGAAAGCACTTTTGTTTTTTGTTTAACAAAAGAAGCAGAAAAGAACAAGTCAAATAAAAGTCTAAAATTAGGTATATTTTAATATAAATGAGGAACTGTCTGATTAAAATAAGTAAGCAAGATTACAAATGTGAACAGACATTTGATGCGCACTTTTATTTTATGCTACAGACACATCAGTCAGTACTCATACTGAAATTCAATCCCCAGCCCTTTTGACCTTTGGCACCACAGTCTTACATTTCCTGTCATGATACTCTATCTTCAGTGTTTATCGTAGACTATCCCAGTAGCCTTCTGGCACAGCCTGCTACATTGTGTTTGACTACACACATTGTTTGTGTCTGTGACAAATAAAGCTTTGAATCCTTGATTCTGCGTAATGGTTAACATGCTGATACCTACCTTTGCTCCCAGGCAGGTTTCAAAGTCTTCTTTCATGTCGGACACAGGGATTCTGTCCTGGGGTCTTTTGGGACCACTGCAGCATGGAACCACTGTATTCAGATCCAGCTCTACAACCTTAGAGAGAGAGCGATGTGGTTTATTTAACATTTCTGTGCTCTGCCTGTAGCTGCACAATGTGGTAATTCATACTTTTCTGTTATACACTTATAGTGGAAACTATACTGGTAGTCTCTTCTTTGAATAACTTTTATTTCTTGTTCTTCTTACATGTTTTTGTGTTTGGTACAATGTTCCAATTTGAAAATCTTGACGCCCATGTGTGTTATTTTTACTGTTTTAATCAGGATGTGTGTCAGCTAGTGGCACTTGTGTGCCTGTTTCTTTTACAATGGAGAACAAACACTGTTAAAACTTCAAAGACTGACCTGAGTGAAATCTGGATCCTGAGAGACATCATTGTAGTCTCTGAACATGCCCACTGCCTTCAGGTACTTTGTGACGTAGGCCAGCTTTTCTGCTTCACGCCCTGAACAGAAACAAACAGAGACAAACCTTGAAAATCTTTTGTGATGGATCAGAGGTGTCTTCAATGAATTAAATATCCCTTCCAGTCCAAATATTACATGATTTTAAAGTCATTGGATGTCTGTACTGTTCACACTGTACAACTTCCTGTCTTGTAATGTAATAGGGACACAAATGGCAACCATTTACAGCATTACTGTCGTTAGAAACTGTTAATTAGCCTGATCAGCCACTGTCAGTGATCAATACAAACATTGCTACACCATTAATCAAATTAATAACTAACAGCAGTCGACATCAGACAGTCTTATCCCTGACTCATAACCCTGTTAATTCAGTCTATTATGTGCGTGAGATGGTTCCGGCCGAAACTACCCGGTTTACTGCCCCGTCTGGTGCTGCACATGTCTGCTATCATTGGCTGGAGTTCGTTTCACGGTTCCCTGACACAGCCAGATTATTATCCTCATAGATACATTTTGGGCTTCGCTGAGCTCTCTGCAACCCCTGACCACATCTTTGAACAGTTCACACACAGCGATTGTCCTCACAGGAGTCATCACCTTCCATCTGTCAGCGACCTCCATAAACTGTCAGAGAGTGGAAATGAGGGCTAAAATCATGTAGTGTGAACACTGCATTACTGAACAATGCAAATTAACTCTGTAGTAGTAGTGCACGAACAGTGTTTGACAGCCAGTATGTTCAGCATTTATAGAATGCTGGTACACTAGGAAGTTGGGAGGTGGAAGCGGGTTTTAAACACATACAAAAGGTGGAAAAATCTAATCTTGTGTACATTGCTGGTGCTGAAGGAAACATGAAGAGGTGAATACTCCCATCAGTTTTCATGTCAAGTCAAACACGTACCTTGGGACATGACAGAAACGACACCACGCAACAAGGGATGTCACAAGACCGATACTTAAAAATAACATACAATTTTATATTAATGGGGAACGTAGGCATTAAAGACTTGATTGGGACATTTTTTACTGTGGTATCGAATTGGTATCAAGAATCTTGGAGTGTCACTGGTATTAGTATCAACTACATCCCTTCATGCAGCATTACTTCCACACTTCCACCTTTGCAGCCTGGCTCTCACCTGTCTGCTCGAGGTACTGAATGCTGACGTCGTCCACAGGGAAGAACGCTGCCGTGGCTCCGTACTCTGGACACATGTTGGCGATGGTGGCTCTGTCAGCGATGGACAGCTGAGCAACACCGGGGCCAAAAAACTCCACAAACTTCCCCACAACTCCCACCTGACGGAGGTGCTGAGGTGCACAAGGGGAAAGGGGCAATGTCAGAATGTGGTGCAACAGCAAGCTGACAGTCTTGCAAATGCTGGCAGAAAACCTACCTTAGTAACAGTGAGGACAATGTCAGTGGAGGTAATGAGCTTGTCTGGGGTCCCGCACAGCTTGTATCCCACCACTTCAGGCAGTACCATGCTTATTGGCTGACCCAGCATTACAGCCTCCGCTTCAATTCCACCAACGCCTGAAGGTTATACAACAAATCTCACTTAGAACTGCATCATCAATTCAAGAAAGGTGTTCTGTCAGCAGTTGTGATGTTAAGTGGCCAATATGGATAAACTTCTCTACCACCGTGTGTGTAATTATATTGTTAGATCCATATACATTGTTTTATTCTATGTTTTCAGGAAAGTGAGAAACTGTTTATGGATAAAGTAAGCAGACAGGAAGGTATCAAGAGGTAGTTAGCCCAGCTTAGCATATACACTGGAAGCAGGGGGTAAATAGCTAGCCCCTCTCTGTTCAAAGTCAAAAAATGACATCTACAAATGTCTCTAAAGCTTTGCTGATGAACATGTTTATCCTTTGTTCACTTTGAACACAAAAGGAAATGTCGACTATTTGTGGCTTCAGGTGGAGTGAAGTGCTAGAACGTATCTTGACAAACCACTGTGCATCCTACCAGCACGTGTGGAAGTGTCCCCAACTATAGCAAAGGTTAGCAGACTTTGGACAGAGCCAGGCCAGTCGTTTTCGTCTGCTTCCAATTTATATGCTAAGCTAACCACATCATGACTGCAGCTCTGCATTTATCAAAAAAAAGAAAGAAAATATGCACATTTTCCCAAAATAATGTACTATTCTTTTAATGCATATATCTGCTTTTGTATCTTCTGCAGGGTAGATGTTTGCTCCCTAAGTAGCCTCTATGTAATGTAAGTGCAGGTCATGCTGGGTTTTAAGATGGCTTGACTGGAAACCTCTATGAACAATATTTACAACACAGATGAGACGTCTTACCCCAGCCCAGGACTCCCAGTCCATCGATCATTGTGGTGTGGGAGTCGGTTCCCACCAGGCTATCAGGGTAGAAGTACCCTTCGTACTTAAACACCACTCTGGCCAAGTACTCTAGGTTGACCTGGTGAACGATCCCTGAACCAGGAGGAATGATTCGCATGTTCCTGAAGGCTTTAGAGCCCCACTGGGAAGGACAACGACATATCGAAGGGTTAAAACATCTCTTCATAGTTACCTACAGTATATATACGGAGCTCACACTGAATGTCACACCTTTAAGAACTGAAACCTCTCTTTGTTGCGGTCAAACTCCAAGTCCTGGTTTTTCTGAAGGCTGTCAGACCTGAAGAAAAAAGAGCCAGTGTGTTTAAATTGTGCAGAACTATATCATTAGTAGTATTATACAGTGATTAAAGCCTCAGCAGGGAATAATACAGTAACTATGAACTGATGGTGCCATGGTGGTGCCACGGTGGTCAGTGTTCGATGAACCTGGCCTTACTTCCTGTTAAAGTCCACTTGGATGGAATGATCGATGACGAGGTCAGCAGGGCAAACGGGATTAATCTTCTCTGGGTCGCCGCCTAGTTTCATCACCGCATCACGCATGGCAGCAAAGTCCACCACAGCAGGGACACCACTACAAGGACAGTTTAGAGTTAAATTACAATATATTTTGTTCTTTAATTATGACTATGAGAAACATATTTGAGATATTAAGGTGTAAATAAGGCTTTAATTGCAATAACATTCCATCACTAATATTCTGTACATCTTAAAATGAAAAGGCTTATCATTTTCATATATAGTACATCTCTCAATATTTTCTCCCTTCCCTGTCTGTGTCGAAACTCACTGGATGCTACTGAAGATGTAAATCTTTGAAAATGGCTGACAAATACAATTGTTTCATTTGCTTTAAATGTTTAATAATTCCATAAAACTGCCAGTCTCTGTAGTTTTTAACAAGCAAACAGGAGGATTAATCCACAGTTGGTGCTCCAGTGAGTATCTGTGGCAGCAGGGCGGTGTGTGTGGGATTGAGTCTGCACGTTTCAACAGGACTCAGACCTTTTTGAGACCATTGTGAATGCAATTTAAGACCTATTTTACATCCATACTGGCAAAAAAAAGTATGAAGGATACGAAGGAAAACTGTTACTGGTTCCATGTTGGTGTCGTTTTGTAGTTGTTACTAAGGAAGGGAATTGATAAGAGAGAGGATGACACACAGCACAGGGCCACAGGTAGGATTCGAACCCTGAGCTGCTGCAGCCAGTACATGGGGCGCCAACTCTATCTACCAGGTGAGCTATCTATCATTGGTCCCATTCTTTACCGATTCATTAATGATTTAATTTTCTGTGTGGAAAAAACTGTAGAAGAAAGGCACGTATGGTTTTCAAAAGCTCCACTGTTTAATTTGGAACCCGTTCTCAACCGTGTGGCCGTGGCTCTACTGTTCTTATTTACCCTCGTTAACGTACGTGCTACTCGGTTGGGAAGCAGTGGCCCTCCTAAGTAAAGAATCAAATATATAGCCTTCAGGGAATTTAAGTCCATGTTACGTAGAAACAGATGTTTCAACACATTGCTGCTGTTTCCACCCTGACTTGCATTGATCATTTTACAGACATTACAACGAGCACTGTTGTAATAATTTCCTCCTCTCTGCCATGACTCCTTCTTGCTGAAACGAGTTTGATGTCATGGTTTTGCAATGCACAGCTGTCAGAAAAACAGGTCGGCATTGATGGCAGGAACTGATGAGCTCTAAGGTATAAAACTTGCAAAGGATCGGAAATTTCCATTCCTAGCCCTAGTTGTTACAGCATGATCAATACAAACGTCATTATGTATTCTGGATCAAAAAAGGTTACCCTGATGACATCACAGTGACATCATCAGGGTAATTTTCTCAGCCCTCCGGACCCACAGAAGACATTATACAACTGTTTTCACACAATGAGTAGTACTCCCTGTGACTGTGACCTTTATGTGTGAAATTGGCAGAGGTCCCACTGAGAATAAAGTTCTGTGGTTCCACACAACAGCACTTTGTGAAGGGCTGAGCCGTGCTCACTGACATTCTAACGCAAATGAATAGCATGCACATACGTGAAGTCCTGGAGGATGACACGGGCTGGTCTGAAAGGCACCTCCACAGTTTGAGTCTGGGTCTGCTTCCAGTTGAGGATGCTCTCCACATCCGAGCGCTTCACCAGGAACTCATCGCAGTTCCTGACAGCGGACTCCAGGAGGACCCGGATGGAGAACGGCAGACGGTCTGAGGAACAAACGGACAGTGAACCTCTCGGAATGTACCACTCAAACTTTTACGCTGACAACAAGTTTTTATATCTGCTGTTACCATATCTGGGATCTCCAAGTTTGGCAAGATTGTAAAACTGCTGTTGTGGGTCCTTGGGGTCCAGAGGCTCCACTAGATGTTGGAAAGGATTATTCACAGTCGCAGACATCCTCCTCTATGTGTTGGTACAAATCTAAAAGAAGAAATGTAAGCCTGATTTTAACACCAATAAATAACAGCAGGGAATAAGCAGGGATTAAATGAAACCAACATTCTCTTTAGTCTTTAGGCTTTTTTTCTTCAACCTTTCGAACACGCACACCAAATAGAGATGTAGTGTCTCTTAACAGAGCATAAAGAGGGTTAACTCCAAGGCCTAGTCTACAATCTGAGGTCTTTCCATATTCACTGTGGAAATGGATTAGCCTTTAAGGTTGCAGTCCACGTGGGTCGGTATGGGCTGAGGGTTAGTGAACTCCTGGACCATGTTTTACAAACGTTACATAACTAAATCTCGTAAGCAGTCTGATGAAACTTTGAACGGGGAAATGTGCAATAAAAAGTCTACAGCCATACTGAAACATATTGGAAATGGACACAAGCTAAACAAGAATGCAGAAATTCAACTCATTTCCTTGAGAGCTATTATCTGTGTGAAAGGTGAGCTGATCCACAGAGCACTTGGCAGGGCCCTCGCATACTGATTGTCCACATACTTGGCAGGTTAGTTCAGGTGCTCGCTGAAGCTCTGCTGCAAAGTGCAAAGTTAAGTTATAATACTGAGTGCAACCAGCACTTTGCTTTGAACACGTGTCTAACATGACAGTATGAAATAGTAATTGAATCTAGAGCTACAACAATTACTATTAAATTAACTGCCAACTATTTTGATAATCAATTAATTGTTTTGAGTTGTTTTTTTAGATTGATTTCAGCTTAGTCCTCTATGACATTGAACTGAATATCTTTGGGTTGACAAAGTAAGACGTTTGATCATGTCACCTTTGACTTTGGGAAACAGTAATCAACATTTTTTGACATTTTCTGGAGCAAACAACTAATAACTAACAGATTCATTGAGAAAATGACAGACAGATTGATCATGAAAATACTGATTAGTTGCAGCACTAAATTAAACTACAGCACTATTAGTTTAATTTAGTGCTGCAACTAATCAGTATTTTCATGATCAATCTGTCTAGGGGGGTATTAAACCCCTATGTTGTTTAGGTTCCCACCTAAATGTGTCCATAACACATAAAAGCAAGTACCAAACACTGGTGGGATTTGCAGTGTTGTTTCTGTATTCTTTTCTTAAAATGAGATGTTAAAATCACAACTTTAAGGTTCCTGTATGGCTGCGAGAGTTTTGCCTTATTGTGTTAAGCTGTTTACATTTTTCAAATTAAGGGATCAAAAAAGTAGGACTGTTATTGTTACAATTTAAACAACCCAGCCCGTAACTAGCCACTTAATATGGTACTTTTTATTCCAAGTAAAACTACTATTACATATGTTATGTTACCTAGCTCCTGTTGAGAAACTAATGCAGTGAATCCTGTCCTGCGAGGTTCATTCATATTTCCCTTCCTATATCCGACCCTTCACCCTACCATGGCCCTCTGACGTAACTTAGCATTAGCTGCTTGGTCAAACTCACATTTACAAACAGCTATACGTTTTGTATGAAGGCACAAAGAAAAGGAACAGTCTTAAACATTATTAGCGGCTCCCCCATACAACACTAGCATGAGTTGGTGTACAGGTGTAAAGGTTTTGAATGTGACAGCCAAAGTTAGCTAGCTTTACGTTACGGCTCAACTATTCTGTATGACAGCACCAGAGGGAGCCTGCTAAACTACGGTAGCTATGTCACGTGACTGAAAGACAGTTAATGAAACAGTAAACTAATAATCGGCAGATTTTAGTAACTTACTTCTTTGTGCAGCAGAGGAGACGCCACAGAGCACGACTGTATGTTACTTACACACTGTCTGCCAGCGAGCTAATCTGTGTTCCTCCGCCAGCTGCGACAGCCATTCTACTTCCGGTCAGGGTTTTTGTCAAAATAAAAGCATGCCGACTAAAAAATTCAATTCAATTCAATTCAATTCAATTTTATTTGTATAGCGCCAATTCATAACAGAAGTTATCTCAGGACACTTTTCAAATAGAGCAGGTCTAGACCGAACTCTTTAAAACATTAATTACAGAGACCCAACAGTACCACCATGAGCAAGACCTTGGAGACAAGGGCAAGGAAAAACTGCCTGATAAAAGGCAGAAACCTAGGACAGATCCTTCAGCTCTAGGTGGGTGGTCGTCTGTCTCGACCAGTTGGGGTGGGAGACAGACAGGCAGGTGCACAGCAACAACAGTATTGGCAATGGCAGTCAAGCAGGACCATGGCAGGAGGCTCCACCAGGATCCATGAGAACCTGTGAGACGAGAAAGCACAAGAACTCCGGGGAAGAAGTGGAGTTAGTAACATGCATTAATGGGACATGAATGAGTGCAGAAAGAGAGAGGAAGAGAGGAGCTCAGTGCACCATGGGAAATCCCCCGATAGTCTAGGCCTATAGCAGCATAACTAGGGGATGGTTCAGGACTCACCTGATCCAGCCCTAACTATAAGCTTTATCAAAGAGGAATGTCTTAAGCCTACTCTTGAATGTGGAGAGGGTGTCTGCCTCCCGAACCACAACTGGAAGCTGGTTCCACAGGAGAGGAGCTTGGTAACTGAAGGCTCTGGCTCCTGTTCTACTTTTAGAGACTATAGGAACCACAAGTAGCCCAGCATTCAGAGAACGTAGTGTTCTAGAGGGGTAATACGGTACTATGAGCTCTTTAAGATATGAAGGGGCCCGACCATGAAGAGCTTTATAGGTGAGGAGGAGGATTTTAAATTCTATTCTACATTTTACAGGGAGCCAGTGCAGAGAAGCTAGTACAGGAGAGATGTGATCTCTTTTTCTAGTTCCTGTCAGTACTCGTGCTGCAGCATTCTGAATTAATTGGAGCGTTTTAATGGACTTATTGGGGCAGTCTGATAATAAAGAGTTGCAGTAATCCAGCCTTGAAGTAACAAATGCATGGATTAGTTTCTCTGCATCTGTCTGTGATAGTATGTGTCTAATTTTTGTAATATTACGTAAATGAAAGAAGGCAGTCCTAGAGGTCTGCTTTATGTGGGAGTTAGAAGACAAATCCTGATCAAAGATAACTCCAAGATTCCTGACAGTGGTGCTGGAGGCCAAGGTAATGCCATCTAGGGTAACTATGTACTAAGGTTTTTGGGGCCAAGAACAAGAATTTCGTTTTTTTCTGAGTTTAACATCAGAAAATTGCAGCTCATCTAGGATTTTATGTCCTTAAGACATGTTTGTAATTTAGATAATTGATCATTGATAATATCATCTGCATAACAGTGAAAGTTAATGGAGTGATTCCTAATAATGTTGCCTAAAGGGAGCATATATAAAGTAAATAGTATTGGTCCAAGTACAGAACCTTGTGGAACTCCATGACTAACAGTAGTATTTATTGAATATTCATTGTTAACATGTACAAACTGTGAACGATCTGATAAATATGACTTAAACCAGCTTTGTGTGGTTCCTTTAATGCCAATTTGATGCTCAAGTCTCTGTAAAAGAATATCATGGTCAATGGTGTCAAATGCAGCACTAAGATCTAATAATACAAGTACAGAGACAAGTCCATTGTCAGAAGCAATCAGAAGGTCATTATTAACTTTAACCAGAGCTGTCTCTGTGCTATGATGAACTCTAAATCCTGACTGAAAATCCTCAAATAAACTATTGTTATGTAAAAAGTCACACAACTCTTTGGCGACTACCTTCTCCAGAATCTTAGAGAGGAAGGGGAGGTTAGAAATCGGTCTATAGTTGGCTAAAACCCCTCGGTCAGAAAACAGAGATGTAAGTAAGTGAAAGTCATTATTTACAATATTAACAGTTTATATCTTTTTCATGAAACTCACGCGTTTGTTTCTGTTTATTTTTTGTCGTCATTGATGGAAATGTGTGAATTCTATGTTAATTAGTGAGCTCATGGTTATTGAGAGCTGTTTCCAATTGTTTTGCACTTGTCATTTACATACATAAGGGAGTCTGAATATCAGCTCTAATAATGCAGTAAAATACAACACCAGCAATAACTGTAAACATACCTCTATGATAGTGTCAACAAAATAAAACAAACATTTTAGGCATAACAAAGGTATACTTTATAGCAGAACCATTCTATTGGATTACATGAGATAGTACAGGCAAATAATGTGGACACTGAGTGTATATATACAGTATAATACAGATATATAAGAAGTATGTTTGACATGAACATGTTGTTTGCTCTGTAACATCTTGACAAAGTGAGAAATACATGTGGTGTTCAGTTAAAAAGTAAGCATCAAATTAAAGTTTATTCTTCCTCTTTACATTCCTTGCTCTCTTCTCTCTTTACCTACTGTTCTTCTAACCAGAGAACAGCAATGGCAGACCAAGGTGATCACAGGGCCCCTGTGCCAGAGGTTCCCAAAGGTTCCCAAAGGCTTCTCAAAACGAAACAACATCTACTTTCGACCCCTCATCAAGGATTAATATGGCGTCAGTGTAAACATGAATTGTGAGCAGTTCGGTCCTTCTTTCCTTCTTGAATTGTTGAATTTAAAAGATGTGTCATTTGAAGTAATAAATAAATAAAATTAACTTAATGTATCAGATTTTTTTAAAAGGGTTATCATCAGACTAATCCAGGGCCCTTGGACACAGGGGGGCCATGGGCTCCAGCCAAGGTCAACCTGAACATGAATCTGCTCCATGCAGGGACTATTAGAAGGAACATAGCCCTTGTGTGTTGTCATGAATATGACAGTTAAAAGTGTATACATGTCAGGGTATATGAAAGATGGATAAACATGAAGCTTTCCCTCTTTTAAATTTGACTTCAGTATCATTCATGGTTCTTTTTGGACCAAATGAATATTGGTTTGACCTTTAAGCCTCTGAGTCGGTTTCATAAACTACAGATAAATCATCTCAGTCAGAGAGAAACTACTACTGTACTGTGGATTGGATGCTCAAAGTCCTGCTGCAGTTCATTGCAATGCCCAGTAGGTGGTGCTGCTGCTGCAGCCATTAGATAGAATACACACTGCTTTTCTTGGTTTCC